CAAGATATATTTTTTGATAAAAATCCTAAAAATGTGGCTTGAATTTTCCATTTAATCTAATGGAAAATGCATTGCTATCAATTGGCAGCGGAATTCACCTAATTAGTACCAAATAATGTTTACAGTTTAAAATGTTGCTTGTTGGATTCAAGTAGTATTTCAGGGCAAACAGCAGTCTAAAGAATAAATAAGTTACAAAACAATGCACATGACAACCTCGTTAGATGTTACAAAACACCTGAGCGTGGAGCCGACGTCCGTTTCTCAGCAGGACAATCACTTCTACATCCAGGTAGAGCTTTGATCATTCTGCTTAGATCACGGGTTAAAGTCTTCTTCTTAAGAGCTGGTTTCCTGCAAAACTTTGCTGCATCTTTGCTTTTAAAACAATCATATTTAACCAGCTTTACATATGAATTTAGAAGTGAGTTGACCAAAAGCTTGATTGCATAACAGGGAGGCAATCCAGCTGTTCAGCTACATTGGTGTGTCGGACCAGAAAACATCTAAAAGACTGGCCCTAGGACTTAAGCTGGGACCAGAGTTACACAGTAGTCTCGCTCTGATGCAATTTTCTTTCCTTTCCTTCTTCTGCTTTTTCTTTTCTCTTCACTGTTTCTCAGCTTTCATTCATTTTTTATGTGAAAATATCGAGTCGTGTCAGAAGGGTTCATTAAAATGTTTGTTTAAAGTTCTTTTCCGCTCGCATGCATTAAATGCTGCCTGAACAGGTACAGTACACAAATCGCAGGTAGGAAAGCATGACTGAGCTTTTTTCTTTTTTCTCCCGGGATAAAAAATGAATATAAAGTGAAATAATAATCTCTTACACCAAAGGGTTCCTCATAATGTCAAGATCGCTCAAAACTTCAAGTCAGTTGAGCTTTAAATAAATCCTCATGAGCTGTTGGCTCAGTTGATAAGGCGCATCTCATGCTGTGTGCTATTGAAGCTGCTTGAGCTGTCTCACTTCGACAGCCTCAGTTGCTTTGCTCCCACTGCTCATTTTCATACTGCCTATGACTTCAATGTCATGTCTGTTGTCAATGACGCCTGCTGTGTTTCCTACCATCAAGGGCCTTTGCAGCTGCTCAGAATGCCTCTGGCTTAGCTTGTGCGTGCATGGAAGGACTGCAGCGTCCCAGAACAGAGTCTTACTGTACGTTCAAATGTTAATAACTGCAAGTGAAAAGAATAGTCTCTTTGAGTAAAGTTGTCTTGACTGAACTGAAATAAGGCTGAGGAACATTTGAATTTTTCATCAAGTTTCTGGTCATTCTGCGGTGTCACATCTGAATATTATAACAAATCTTCTTTTATATAGTGTATATGGGTGTATCTGAGGAAAATTTACTCTAAAACCACCTTATTGAATGTAAAATCACCAAATGAGATGCAAAAATCATACATCTTTAGCGCATTGAGAATTGAATGGGTTTGGCTGTTAGGAAGGAGACTCAGAATCGAGTAAAAAAAATTTTTTAAATATGTGATAAATCATCACAAAGTGCCTTATAAGTATGACATTAAAGTTATTGTTTAGATGGACTTTTAAAGTAATTTGGTTTCTGCCTCGGTCTCAAGTCTATTGCAACCCCTAAAAGTTCCCTTTAGTATTTTTAAAAACTTTACTCTGTCCATCTTCAAATTAATCCAATTTTATTTGTTAAGCACTTAAAAACAGCCACAGCTTACCAAAGTGCTATACAGAAAAATAAATAAGACATAACACCGTACAGATGAAAAAACAAAACAGCTAAAACATGGGTTAAAATAACATTCACAAAATCAAATCAATAAAAGTTCATAAAAAATAAATGGAATAAAAGATAAAAAAAAAATACAATAGATTCTTCGTCTCAGTTGAATCCCCAAGACCTGGCCAGACCATCTTATTCCACATGACTATTGCGTTCTTTTTATGATTAGTGGATTTCTAATGTTTCTTTTCTGCCACTCACCCTAATTGGCCAGATTTATGGTATACACAATTCATAATTTTCTGTTAGGCAGATTCACACAAAAGCTGGACTTAAGTTGGCATTAATTATATAATCTGTTTACTTAGGAAAATAAGTGACCTCTGACGGCAGTCGATGTTATTCAGAAGAATTAGATTAAAAGCGTCTGAATACAGTATTTTATTATATTGTCTTTTCCTTTCTTTTTACAGTTATGCATTACTTTTTTGTTGGATGTTGTTTTTAAACATTTAAACTTGGGCGTATTTAGGAAATTCGGGGCCCTAGGCAAAGACAGGCAAGGGGCAACACATAAAAGAGACCCATTATAAAGATACAGAATTTGTTTTCCTCTCTATGTTTTGTGACTTTTCATGCTGTCTCAAAAGGAATGAAAGATTTTTTCCAAGCACCAAGCTCACTTAGCTGATTGCTTCTTTCTGTGTTTCCAAAAAGGTGAATGAAAAAGTAAATAACCCAGTCCTTATTTTCACTGTAGACAAGCCATGATCTGCTTATCTGTTCTTACATTTTTCATTTGTATGAAATAATAGTTGCATCAATCTTGACAGCAGACAAGACAGAGGAGAGCAGGAGGCGGGGTTAGCAATCTACCTGCTCTGAAGTGCAGAGTTTGGTGCTTTTATATGTTGTCGCCAAAGCCTCCAGTAGCAGAAAATAGTTGCTAGATTTGGTGCTAGATTTTGAAATAAAAGTGCTAGAGGGGTCTGAAAAGTCAATAAATATATTGACAAAGGCGCTAAATGGGCAACACTGCGCTTTGCATTATTTGTTTTGAAAAGGTTTGCTGCTGTCTGTTTGGACCATTTTTAAACATGTGTAGGAAATGTCATTAGAATCATAAAATTATTATTTTTTTAAATTAAGGCCTTAATTGGCATTAAAATTCATTAAATTTGACAATTGTGGCATTAAAACGGCTTCGGAAAAGAAGCTTGAGGCGGAGAAAAGGCTAGAGAATCGGGAAAATGCAAATGTGAACCAAAGTGGTGGAAAAGCGAGGAACTCAGGACATTGCTGCAGCCTGTCCACGGTGAAGATGACGAAGGATTTTGCCGTATGTATATATATATATTTCATTAAGATTATTTCTAAGAGCATTAAAAGAGCATCAAAAAGCATTAAATAAGAGTTACTCATTAATGTATAAACCCTGTAATATTAAAAGCATTCTGATGCCATTTTAGCAAAGGATTTTTATGAAAACATGAATAGTTGTATTAATCATACATGTAAACAGAATTTTTTGGGGCCCCCACGAACTTGGGGCCCCAGGCAACTGCCTAGTACTGCCTAATGGTAAATCTCCCCTGCATATAAACAAATGCAGTTCTCTAAGGCTCTATTAGATTATGCATAATTAAAAATTAGACCTTATGATTAAACATGAAGCCTTCCTAAAACATCTTAAAACCATAAAGTCATGATGTTATGTTCAATAAATCTCCCCTAGCAGCACAAATACTTGTTTACTTGAAGTTTTATCTGTTTATAACTTGACCAGATTCTGAACTTTGAACTGTTTGGATTAAAAGGCCCATAATTATATATTTCTCATTCTGCATCTCTTCCCGTCACAAACAAGCTGCTTGGAGTCTCTGATTACATGATTAGACAGCAGATATATTCATGCAAGGTTCTCATCTTTTGTTCCGCCCAGCAGGCTCACTGTGAACTGTCCTGATAATGGTGAGCGTGACGAGTTTCAGAATGAGGTTTGTCCTGAACTGCAGCTGGGACTGCACACATAGACCAGACTGCCGCCCACAGCCAGGGCCGTTCCATAACGACCGACATCCGGAACTGAGAGAGAAAAAAACCTGAAGCACTGCTACACCTGTAGCCTCCCAATTAATTGTAGCATCCAAGTTTTACTTTTTGCTCCAGTTTCTCCTGCTCTCTTTGTTTGCCTTCACCCTCATGACATGTTTTAACAGGCAGCCGGTCCTTGACCGTCCAGAAACTGATCATTTGTGACAACAGCCTGGGGGGGGAGGTCTGCGAGCCACGGTGATCACCGTGCTCCTGACTCATGTAGCCTCTGTATTTGTGCTCCACTGCTTTAAATAAAAAAAATGAGGTTAGGGAATCACCAGTTGACGTCTTTCTGTTGCATCTTTAAATCTACAATGACTCAAAAGGGGGGGCGTATTTTCTTTGGTGGTTTTGGACGTTTCAGATGAGAATAAATCATGGAGTTCAGCTGAAACAGTCAGACTGCTAAATCCTGGTGTTATTCCCATGGTTTGTCTGAAAACTTTATCAGGGTTTGTTTTGAACATAGCGGTTGCTTAAAAGACACAAAGAGGCACCACAAACACCAGACAGGTAGACACTTTTACCCCCCCACCCCACAAAATGTACTTAGCAGATGTTTCTTAGGAAGTCACTGGAGAGAGGCTGCATGGAAAAAGGAGTGGAGCCAGCTGGGCGGAGAGCGGTGGAGGATTCTTTCCATTTGGGTCTGTCCGACCGAGACATGCTTACTGTTTTTTTGTCTTCTCAGAGAACCATTTGTCTTCAAGTGTGCAGCAAAGTTTATAAAATCATTCTGGTCCAATAAGCATAGGATGCAGTAATGGAGTTTGAGATAAATTACATCCTTTCTGGAATGAAACAAAGTGTCATACTTGATTTTGTCAAGTAGAAAAAAGTTTTTGGAGCTAAACAGCCAGAGCGAGGCAGTGTTTGAATAAAAAAATGTGTTCTAATCTTGTCTTGATGTATTTTACTAACAGTAAACAAACTAAAGGTTGGATGTTTTGCAATGTACTGACTCAACATGTGCTGCACATCTGGATGGCTGTCTTCCATTTTATCAGCACAGTCCAGTTTACATGGAGGATTTCTGAGTGCCGTCCATGTGTGCTCAGTTGTATGTTTGTTTCCTGGATTAGAAAAAGGGATTTATTTTTGCTTTTACAAGAACCTAATGCTGGTTTACCAAACAGAAATAAAGAAACATCACAATGAATGCTATCAAATGGTCTATTTTTTATTTCACCCTTTGCATTTCAGAGCGTTTTTATTGGGACGCGTCGCTGCGTATTCCCAGGGCTGACTTCCACGAAGTTCTCCATGACGATGGCGCTGCCCTCGCGTGGCTCCTGGCTCTACGCCGAGTCGGCATCGTCCACCTAAAGGGGGCGCCTGCAGAGCAAGGCCAGGTGGCCAGACTGGCTGAGAGGATTGGATATCTTAGGCTGACGTTTTATGGGTGAGACTGTGATGTTTACTTCATGTTCAGAACTGAAAATCCACATGAAGCTGGGGATTTTGGTTTGTTTAATTAATGCAAGCCAGCTGAACATATGTTTGAAAGATCTAGTGCAGGGGACAAGTTTACACACACTGTCAGGGTCATAAGAAGTTAGGGCTCTTCAGGCTCGGACTGGGAACGATTTTCGGCCCTGGCATTTTTTCATCTACACCAGTCGACTTATGGACAATGTAGTTAACATTGTATTATTTCTTGAGCTCCTTGAGTATGATTTAAGGAGGGTCGACCTGTGCAAGCTGAAAGTAGGACCGGCCCACCGGGCAAATAATGCCTGGTATCACAGATTACCAGTCTGAGTCTGGGGCTCCTGATGATACATTTGAATTATTCTACTGGTAGGATGGACTGATTGTACAACAAGTACTTTGGTTTAGTTTAGTGGGGGATTTGGATGCACAGGTTTTAAATTACTGTTTGGTCAGTTTTAACTTAGAAATGGCTCTTGGTTTTCTTACAACCCATAATAATGGGATAACTTTCCCTCCTCCAGTTTCAGTGCGGCCATCATTAAGCTGCTGGGTGTTTGCTTCCTGGATGAGCATAACTTTTAATAGTAGCTCCAAATGTTTCGTTGGGGATGAAGTTGAAGCTACTGAAGTAACTTAATGTGAACCCCTTAGCAGCTGACCTTTGCTTAACTCTATCGGCTCCAAGGACCACCAGTAGGATACGGGCAGGTTGTCCATTATTCCCAATTGGATGACCTGTCTAATTCATTGGAGGATAAGTATTTGGGATCATTGTCCTGTTAAACACCAGCTGGTGACCAAGTTTCAGTCATCTGACCCAAAACGGTCATACTGAGATGGGAGAAAGTTGGTAAAAATGGGCCCTGCAAAGGGAAATATGAAGGAACACCAAAATATAAGGAAAACCTGCACCCAAAATCAGCCCTTCCAACCTCTGCTGCCCAGATTGTTTGGCTGAATGATCTCAAAAGAAAAATGTTTAAGGTCAGAAGAGAGGAATGTTGAGCTGTTTGGCAAGTGAGACGGTAAATATGTTGGGAGGAGTCAAAGTCAGAGTTTAAAAAGCTAAGAACAGCAGCAAAAGTCAAGCCTGGCAGTGGTATCATCATGCTGAGGTTTTGTTCTGTTAGCAGTGGTACTGGGACACAGATAATAAAGGAGGACTACCTCCTAATTACCTTTACTTCAAATCAACATTTGAAACGTGGATAAAAGTTAGTATTCAGTCCGCCAACATTTAAACCACTTCCTCTGAGAACCTTCTACGGTCGATTAATGTGCTCCACAGGCAAAAGATTTCTCCCTAAGGGGATGGGTTAAAAGCAGAGGACAAATTACCTCACTGCAGGACAATTGAGGGATATTGAGATACAAAAAAAAGGTTTATTACAACATTATCGACAAATGACAGAGGAAAATATATTCCTCCTCTTTTTCAATAATAACAGAAGTTCTTAAAAAGTAAAACATACTATTTATTAGAAATCATAAGCTGACTTTAAAAAAAAATTCTCTCAAACAGTATTAATGAACTTCATTAATTCTGATAAGAAGAACCAGTAAAAGCAAAGCTCCTCTGCATTTTGCTGAGGGACATTTTACCAACTACTAGTGGATCTGACTGTCAATAATTCAGTCTCTACAATTAATTTAAACACAGTTTCTATTTTTTTTTTTCCTTTTCATTAATGGAGCTTCATTACAAAATAATTTCACTTTTTAAATTAAGGTCAAATAGTCCTGCTCACGATGACTGAATATGAAACATTCAAAAAGAAGGCAAATGTTTTAAGCCAAGTATTTTAAGTGTATGCACCAGTGATTCCTCTCTAGCCTTGGTTCGTATTGGCTCCAGAGTTGAGCTTAGTGAGTTTCTCTTCGCCCTTTTTCCATCACAGCAGTTCATCACTTTGACTTATTGCTGGGCTGATTGTTTCAGGACAGAAAAGAGAAAAACAAACTAAAAGTGTTTCATCTTTCTTTTTTTAAGTCAGAGGAATAACCTGGTGCACTCAGCTGCAACAGAGGTTTGAATCATAAAGCTCTTCCACTGGCGGTGGATGAGCTCATAGAGCAGGAAGTGAAAAGTCTGCAGAGGAAAACGGAGAGGTCTGCCACCACAGAAACTATTAATGACTCAAGCCTTGTCCAAAACGAGGCATACAAACAGAACATTGAAGATAACTTTACCTCATTAGCGCTCAACTCATGCTGCATCTCAATGAAGGATCTGCTTAAGAGTCTACAGTCTGAGCGTTTCTGTGAAGCTGCCCAGTTTCCCCTCAGGGAACCCTCCGAAGTTCATCTCATCTCATCCTTTTCTCCTAATTGTCGCTGCTGATCTTCTGTTGCCAAAGCGGAATAATTAAAGTGGGGTTTATTAATGAATGTTATCTTTGTCCTCAGGCATACATGGCAAGTCCAGGACAAATCCATGGCAAACAATGTGGCATACACTTCTGGGAAACTAAGCCTGCATACAGACTATCCTGCTTTACACTTTGCACCTGGGGTGAGTAAAATCGTTCTTAAATGGCGTTTAGAGGATTAAACAGGAATGGGATCGGTGATGAATCATGTCTTGGCATTTGGCCTTCATGACTTCAGAGGTTGGAAAGGAGCGTTTGCTCAGCATGTGTGCTTCGGACTGCTGTAGGTACAGTTCCTGCACTGCATTAACCAGGCGGAGGAAGGAGGGGAGAGCGAGGTGGTGGATGGCTTTCACATGGCCGAGCAGCTCCATAGAGAGGATCCAGAGGCCTTTCGGACGCTCACCTCACTCCGCATCGACTTCACAGACACCGGGACAGACTACTGTGACTTTATGCTACAGTCAAAGAACCGTATAATCGAGTAAGTTCTGTTAAAATGTCAGCTGTCTGTTTATCAATACACAGACATCTGATTTCACACAAAAGAAACAGCAAACTTCACCTTATGATGGTGTTCAGTTATTATATTCGGTGTGAGAACACTGCCCTCTGCTGTTCAAAATTATTCAATTATATATACACAGTAAAACTTTACATGTGAATTAGACAAAAACACAAAGCTTAGAAATATAACAGAATAGTGATAATCTACATTCCACATTAAATATAAAGTCCAATAGGCCGTAAAGATGTTTAAATGAATCACATCTGTTTTTGTTTTTAAATTTCATGTTAAGCTAGAACTAAATAAAAACTGCTTCAGTTCTAAACACTAATATTTTGTCCTTCTGTATTTTCTGATCAGCGTTGACTCTGAGGGTAACATCTGCAAAATAAACTACAACAACGCCACCAGAGACTCTGTGCTGGACGTCCCCCTGCATCAGGTTCAACCCTTCTACAGGGCCCTGAAGGCCTATGTGGACATAATGAACAGACCAGAGAACGTGGTCACCTACACCATGGAGCCAGGTCAGGTGGTCGCCTTGGAAACCAGAACCAAAAAAGAAAAATATACTCTGCCTCACATTGCTGTTATTTATTTATTAAACTAAAACACAGTAAAAGTAGAATAAAAGACAAAACTGTCTGTATTTCCATATTTCACAGCTAAAAACCTAAAACTGCTACTCTTGGGCTTAAATTCTCCTGAAGAATGTGTTTTCAGGCCAGTTTACATGTTTCCTTTAATTAAGTCCAAATATCTTGCAGAAATAATTCACACAGTGAACACTTAATAAACCAACAGATACAGGTTTAAACAACTCAATGACTTCAGCTCTTAATATTTATAAAAATGAAGGTAAAACCAGTATTCTGCCTCGTTAACTCCCAGGAAGTTATTGAGTGAACAGAGATGGGGCCTGATTCTGAATCCTGAAGGAAAAACAGGCCGGCATCATAGCCGCCATCCTGATATCTGTTGCAGCTATTGGTGTGCATTATAAAAACAAAATGGAGGCAGTAGACAGCCTAGTCATGAGACTGGAGCTAGATATTTACACAAACCACCTGGACGGTAAAACACACTTGACATGTCTTCAACAGCTTTATACATCCAGACAAAGGCTCAGTAAAAGGATGATGGTGAATGATCAGCAAATTGAAAAATATTTCCACCAGTTTTCATTATAGATTAATTCCTGGGTTTTAAAGGACATAAATGTGCTTTAATATGAACCGTTTCTGGCTTCATTTTTAGGGTTGAGTTTATAAAAAGTAACAATCCAGTCAAGCCTTGTGAAAATTCCCTCACCAGATTTTCTTCTAGGATGACTTTATATTAATCTTTACCAAATATTTGAACATCTCTGCTGCTGCTACAGTGGCACAGTGCTGCCACTAAGAGGGCATTTTTCAAGGTGATCCAGAGCTTCTTCATACACACATCTGCTAAAGATGAACTTTTCATGGTCACCTTCTTGACACTCTTCAACAGAGGCCTGATTTGTAGAACATGCAACCAACAGTTTTGTTCTCTTGTCCATCATGTTTTTCCACCAGTGCTGAGAAAAAAAAAACTATGAGATAAAATTTTACACACACACTTTATTTTTTTTTTTTGGTGTCACTCTCAGATTATTTAAAAACTATTAACCTGCATTCATCCCTTTCCTTGCGGTTCAGTTATGCGTATTTGTTTTGTTCTATCAGTAAAGAAGTTTGTGGTTGTAACGTGAAAAGATTAGAAAAGGGTTATGATGCATTTTGATGTGGTATAGTGTCAAGAAATAGATCACAAGGTGCTTTACAGAAGAAAACTAAACAATAGTTCATCAAAAGCAATTAAAATGGATGACTTTTTAGTTGCTTTAATATGTTGAAACGTAAAGATTTCAGTGAGGAGGATGTTTGTCAGCAGGATTCTTCAGCCTGTTGTAAACATGCTGATGGGCGTTTTTGTCATCATTAAGGTGGTAGTGACATTAAAACTTCACTGCTATCTTTGTCACTGTCGGCCAAATCAAGTTACCAATGTCTAGTGAAAGCCATGAAATGCATCTGCTGCTCCTAACGGCTGAGGTTCGGGACATTTATGTGGAGCAGGATGGATCTGCTGCTTCCCACTGTGTTATTTCAAGCTGTAAACATCCAGCCCATCAGTAACCGTGTCCTCTCTGCAGTCACTGAAGGACATCCTCCAAAGAATGATAATGGATAAAAACCTGATTTGTTTCTGTGGTATTTCAGATCGACAGCAAAAGCTCCCATGTCTGATCTTGAGTGTTTTATTTCAGGAGACATCGTGACCTTTGACAACTGGCGTCTGCTGCACGGCAGAAAGAGCTACGTGAGCAGACCAGACAGGCTGCGACACTTGGAGGGGGCCTACCTGGACTGGGACGAGGTGATGTCTCGTCTCCGGATTCTCCGCAGAAATGTCCACGGGGACGTTTGAGCCTTGGACAAAAGGTCACATTTACATAGGAAGCCTTAAAGCCTCAAATTAATCTGAAACTACAACTTAAGCCACATATGGGTCTTAAAAAGTGCTTTAAATGTTGAAAGAATCAAGATGTAACGAATTAGACGGCAAGCTAAAAGGAAAGTCTCCAACTTTGAACTTTATGCAACACAACAATGCAAAGATGAATCGGCCTAGTTAAGAGATTTAAAAGGTGCTTTTTCATTTTAGATTAAATGCATGTTTTAATATCCTTTGGGTACTTTGCAAGTATCATTACTAATTTATTTTTTATATCATTCCCTTTTCTTTACAAAGTATATCTGGCTCAAAATCTATTTTTATAAATATTACTTTTGTGCATTATTTTTGCTAAAGATAAATAAGTTAAACCATACCTTAGTTTTTTTTTTTTTTAACTAAACAAAAGTTTGACAAAAAGGAAATGGACATTTTTAGCACTGTGCCTTTTTTGAACATTTTAGGTCCCCTTTACAACTTTATTTGCCAAAGTAAATCTTAAAAGCAGTTTTTGGTGATCTTTTATATAGAAGAAAAGGCTCTTACCCATCAAAACAATCACTTATTCAGATTTGTTTAACATAAGTAGATTACATAATGTAAAAATGATTGTTCTCTTCACCAAATAAATTCAGGAAAAGATGAGAAAAAAGTGCAGGGAGTAAGCGGGCTGGATGAAGAGACCAAAGATCTATTAAGCATGTCGATAAGCCATTCAGGTGGCTGTAAAAAAAAAAACCAGAACATCTAAATGCCTGCAGGCCTCATTTGTCTCAGGTGACAGTCGGAGGTCATGGTCCAGTAGAGACTGCGGAAAATAGTAAAATCAATGGGAAAGGTTCCAAGGTTAAGGCTTACCAAAAAACAACAAAAGCATTCCTGAAAATCTTAATGATCTCAAAAACTTCCCAAAAAATATTTTGAATTGTGAAGAGATGTGGATATTTAGGAAGATTGGCCTCCAGGTGACTCTGAAACAGGGTGGTGGTGGTATGATGGGCAGGATCTGCTTTAATATAGGAAATACTTTCCTGAAGGAAATTGCCTCAGAAGTTCATGACTTTAAGCTTAAGAAAAGGACAGGGACCCAAAGCACAGCAGCAAATTCAACTCCAAATGACTAAAGAGTGGCCTGGACTTGAAACTAATAAAAAAATGTGCTATTGCATAAAGAGACCTTGTGTCCCCAAACTCTCTGATGTTCTTGAATTAAAAACCATCCAGCAAAGAAGCAGGAGGCAAATTTCTGCAGAGATGTGAAAATCCACTCGATGCCGTTTTGTTCCAACAAGGGAAGCAGAACCTTTAGGGGGCCGATACTTCATGATGGACCTGGAGGGTTTGGATTTATTTTTTTTTTCCACTTTTGACACAAAAACTGCTTTTCCTATTTACTTATGTCACCTTTATCTTCTATTGAAATTAAAAGGCACATCAGCAGATCTTTTGAAAGGCTTTGCAGGCCAGTATGGTTACAAATGGGATATTTTCACAGCATTAGTAAATTAAGTCATTTAATCTTAGATGTGAACTTTATTTTGTCACAAAAATGTACATTTCTGCCTGTTAAGAGATTTATCTAGAAGATTTTTTTTTTTATTTACATGAAAACCTACATAAGAAAACATTTCCACAGAAGGAAATCTTTAATAAGTTGGTTTCACTGCATGTAGAGCAGCTCAGGTCTCTGCTGTCTCTTTTAACCTCGTGTTCAGGGTCAAGTTGAACAACCATGCTTCAATTTCCTGCAATAAATCTTTGAAAAAAAAAAATTGAAAACCTTGTCTTTTGTTCAAGAAAAAAAAAATCAATAATCATTTAGGACAACTTTATTATATTGCCAAAGCTGTACATAATCTATAAATACATTTTTTCTCCTTAAATACTGGAAAGCTTACAGCTGGCATCTCTTTACTTCTTCCCTCCATTGACAGCAGCCAGTGAGCACAGTAACAGAGATGAGCTGTAATATTCCAGGAAAAAAAAACAAAAAAACATTTTTTTTATTTTTTAGCTTAAGCAGAACATTCAGATCCGTTGTGGAGATGGTACAGCATCTTCTCAAAGTCCTTCTGAAAGTTCTTCTTTGCACATTTAGGTTACTAAAAATACAGGCATGTCAGGATCAAAATAAAACTCTTCCAGTGAATTTACCATAGCAATATATTGCTGATAGGAGACTGTTCACCACATGACCACACATGCTCTCACACACACACACACTGTGGGTTTAGCTAGGACCTGTTTTTAACACCATGGAACAAACAAAGATCAAATGATCTCAGCCATGATTAGTTTGTCTGCTCTGAAACTTTCTAAGGGTCAAACACAGGAGAGAAATACGTTTTTTTTAACCTCTTTCAAGAGCTCGTAAGAGTAATGTCTTTTTTTTTTTTTTTTTAGAAGAAACCGAATATGTTTCTGCATAAACTTTAGCGCCTAAGTTTGCTCTTCAGTTTTTATACATTTGCATTTATTATCCTACCTGGTAAAAAAAGTTAACTAAATGACATGAGGCTGCAAACATTTAGCATTTCATGCTAAGCATGAAATTATATTTCTGTACCTGAAAAGCAACCTAAGAGGATCAACCAACTAAACAGGAAGACAAAGCTTTGACGGCTCAGGATCAATTCAGCATCTTGCTAATTTACACGTCCGTTTCGTTCTGATGCACTGTGGCGCTTCCTTTATGAATAGTGCTTCAGGCCACAAGCTGAAACGCACTGGACAGCTAATAAAGCTGCTTCCCTGCACAACAAGCTTTGATGGGGCTTTCAACCGACTGCGGCCCGTTAACATGCGAGCAAATTTATTTTACCAGACAGCCTGAGAATAACCCAATATTGTGTTGTTGATCTAAACAAATACTGATTTAAGGAAACAGAACTTTAAACCCTTCATTCACCTAATGCTGATCTATGAGACGATGTTAAGAGATCACCATCTGCATGCTTTCTTCCAGGAATATCAACAAAAAAAATAAATAAATTGGGGATCGGTTTTCATACATATTACATCTTATAGATCCTCCAGGCTGTCTTGGATACCATCAGAAAACCTTACAGCACCTTTACCTCTAGGTTTAACAGTATGGCTGAGATGCTGTTTAACAATCATCAGTCAGAGCAGGTATGAAATGTATGAGTTGAAGAAAGAAACAAGCAAACATATAAAGGTATAACATGGGAAAAAAAATAACTTCCTCTGCCTGCCTAGTACATTAAAACCATCTGCCTGTTGATGCTTAATGGAAGAAATTGTCATGAAATTCTCAGTTTAAGTGATGCTTCCTAAAGATGATTTTATTTGTTCATGAAAACAAAACAAAAAATCTAACATTCAGTTGCTAAATATCACTTTGCAAATTCTTTAATTTAGGTAGAAATTGTTCAAGTAGAGCAGCAGCAGTCTAAGTCTCCAACCACAGTCAGTCTGTCTGTTACTCATACATGTATCAGCCAGGGTTCATAGCTGTGCTTGTAGAGATTTGCTTCAGACACAGAACTGACCAGCCTCCTCCAATAACTGCAGGCGATTCTAATCTAAGTTATGAACATCAGAAAATCTTGTTAGTTTCTGTCTTGTGATTGACCCATGATGAAGCGGAACACGATGACCAGTCATAACACACTGAATATTCAGCAAATCCACACTATAGAAAAAGAAACTCTTACATTCTTCACCCTGTGGAGCCAAGAGAACCTGGCTCTGGCAATGGCTAACTACTTCTTAAGTATTGCACATCTAGCAAATCAACATTTTGTAACTTTTTTTCCAGAAAATTTACACTCAATAAATGCATATATTAAATAAATACTATATATATAAATATATATAATATTTATTCCATCTTTATAGTAACATGCAGTTAATACCAGAGGAGCACAGACGAGAAGTTTTACAGCAGAACTAGAACAGTGATTCAGCCTGGTGGAGCAGAGGACACATCTGAGAACACCTGAAGTATTTTAGGACCAAACAGCATTAAGGAGAGTTTACATGCGGTGCTCTGGTGCTTTTCACTGCACTAACAGGTTCTCTGGATGCTTCACCAGTTTCAACTTGGACAAACTGGAACTTTACAGTAATCACGTATCACAGAATTACACAGAACTGTATGGAGACGAGCGGTGGGGTGGGGGGGGGTTAGCTTCACTGCTGTAGCACAGGACCTGCATGCAGTCTGTGGCTCGGGCTAATCCCTCACCTCTGCACCACATGGGTCACTGAGGCTTCCATACAGAGCCCAGTCACTTCTCCAAATCCAAACAGGGCAAGCACACGGTAACTAGCTGGGCTGGAACATCGGGACAACAACCATGAGTTTTAGGACTTATTTACACAACATCACAGACTGGACATGTCTACACCGGTGGATCTAAAAAGGATCACAGGATTCTATTTACACAGGAGGGGAGAGCAGGAACTGTGTGCTTCGAGTTAAACAAGGGATTGTCAAAAATCTGGTTAAAGAGCAGAGATGCCATTTCAAGTAGAGAGGCACGCCAAGGGTGTAGAGGAGCGGGGGGGGGGTTGCCGGGGGTGACGACTAGCTGGGAAGGGGTCTTGGTGACAGCAGCTTGGGTTTTCCTTCCGCCTCCTTCCCCTTCACAGCCGCCACGTAGGAGAAAAGGCAGAGGACAGAGTAACAGATCTGATGTGCCTGCAGAGGGGGAGGGGGGGGGGGCAGAGGTGAGGTCACATGGCTATAAAACTTCATATTAAACTAAATTCCACAAGTTAAACAGAAACTGAATTTACAATAGATCATTTATGGTTCCATCACAGTGATAAAAAGCATTACAGCAGGTTTAAGATCTCAGTTTTTATGAAAAGTAAGAAAAAAACAAAAACTTCAAATGTTAATGTATGCATTGAAAATATTTTATTTGACTAAATATCAAGTCCTTTAAACAGAAACAAAAACCCAGTCAATTAGATGACAAAAAATATATAGTGCAAAATGAACTTTGTTGGGGGCATTAGCCTTTGTAAAATGTCTAAAACTTCATATAAATGTTCCTCATGGTCGTTCAGCCCTATTTGATCAGTTTGCTCTACTTGGCAGCTGATTTTTTCTCTTCATGATGAGCTGTCTAGAGGTTTGGAACGACAACAGCCCAATATATTAAACCCACCTGGGCGACCTGCCATGTTAGGAACACGCCCAGGATGTGATCATTCAAAAACAACTTTCAAACTAGCCGAGGAGGAAAGCTTTCAGCGGGATTTGGTTGTAATTTCTATACAGCAGTTGTGAATCAGCACAGGAATGTTGCACTTTAGTCTGGACAGCTTTGAGGAAAACGAAGCATCTCTCTTCCATCTTGGAAAAACCGCACCAGAAAATAATATATAATATTTCAGGATAAATTAAAATTGTGTGGTGCAAAAGGAAATATTTCATAATATATATGCCTAGAGTTGATTTGTAGAAAAAAAAAAAAAAATCATGATACAGGAGCTTTAAACCTTGAGCAAAGCTTCACAAGTTTGAGGGAAAAAATGTAATAAGGCTTTTTATGGACTGGAGGAAGAGAGTTACTGATGTTCTTTAAATTGGAAAAAAGTTTCAAGGCCATCTTGGAGACTTTATCCAACAAAGTCATGATCAAGAAGGTCAGGGACAAACATAAAAAATAAAAGTGAAACTTCCTCTTAGGGCTCTGACAGCAAAGATTGCATACAGAGACTTTCTCCCTGAACTCCTTGGAGAACAGGAGCAGAAAGCTAAGCAATAAAAAAAAAAAAATCTCATTAGCTTTACATGTTCATCTACTGTTGAAGGTATTGAGAATTATGATCGAAGTAAAGTGTTTGCCTTTAAAAGCAGGAACAATAACAGCATAAGAACCTCTGATGTTTATAGTGTTCAGGAATTACTCTGAATTTTTTGTTTTTACTGAATCTGGCAAATGTTCAAATGTGTATCTGATTCTAAAGAGGAAGCTTATAAAACGCTTTACGCAAGTTAGCACAAAAAAATTATAAAAAGCATTTATTACTCATAGGTACGACATGATGCTAAAATATTCACACCCCTTGAGCTTTTGTTGTTGTAGATTGATAAAAACTAAATGTACTTTCTCCAAGTACAGTACTTGCTGTTGTGATACTAGAACTTAGTTACTTTTACCTTAAAACAAATTTCAATAATGTCACCATCTATTTTTTGGGATGTTTCAGGGCCTTTGATTTTAGAAGAAAACCTTGAAACGTCAAAGTACTACTCACTAAACAATTTAGAATTCCTTTTAAATTTCTTACTATTGTACAAAAATACATTATTACTGAAGGACAGGCTGTGAATTTATAAGAAAGCAACGGTTATTAAAAAGATTTAAAATATATGAAACTGTAGTAAAAGTTTGAACTTTTTCCTAATTAAATAGAAGCATGACATGATGCAGTTTAAATAAAAAGAGTACAGCCTAACTTTAATGTTTAACTCCATCTTTTAATGGGACAAAACTGAATCTTTGACACTTCGGTTCAATGTAGTCAGTTTAAAGCTTGTCCGACGGTGGAAGCTTAATCTTCTCTCAGAATAACCAATCACAACTTTCATGTCTAAATCTCTGGCAATAAAAGTGAGCTTAGAACTTGGTTAGAATGTCCAAACTGTCCAATTAGCCATTTCCCTTTGGTTCCTCAGCCCTCTGGTATGAATAAACTGATGGTATCAGGCATGTATGGAAGAAACTAAGGTTTGGCAATGAGACGAATCTTTCGACCATTGATGATAGACCAAGTCCTTAAAGTTTGTTATTTTTAAAGGGTAATTTTTATTCCTGTTTTATTTTAGACCTACGGGTTAAGACGCAGCCCATAAAAAAGAAAAAAATTCAGTTTGTAATGGTACTGTACACAGAAACTTTCAGCTGCATCTTTCACCCCAGTGGCACGATGCAGCAGTGAGAGAGGTTTTTTTTAAGTACATTTAAAGGCCACTCTGTCTGTTATGGATTTTATTTTATGACAACAAATTAAAAAGAATATATATTAAATAAAAAACTAATTATAAAGGAAAATCCTCCCTGCAGTGAAGCTGTGCGTTTTTCATAAAAAAAGAAAAAAATGTCCTCCTCAGTTTTCCGTCTCTTTGATTTTGCACATTCAGCTGAACGAATTGAAAACTATCAAGAACTATAATGTCTCATAAGACAGTCAGAAGAACTAGATAAGAGGGAACACTGGACGAAACATATATATTGATAAGAAAACTAGTATTTTTTACCTTATTGGGTTTTAGTGATGTGCGCAGGAGCTTAACAATATTACTAGCGGTGCAGAAGAGGAGCTTTGAAGCGGTCTACTCACAAAGTCACCTGCATGAATATATCGTCCATCGCCCTTTGTTGGACTGACATATATTGGCATGAACATTAATATTGCCAAACCTTAGTGGAAATCAGGTGGAGTACTAGTATAAATGTGTCTTGCCAACCGTTAAGCATGGTGGTGGCAGTGTTATGAGCTATGGGGAGAAGATAAAGCCAAGCTTGAATTCCAGCTGGTGGTGTTTCAGCCTGAAGCAGAGCATGATCCCATCCCTTCAGAAGCGGGGTCACAGGTCAGCATTAAATACAGTAATGACCCCAAAAACATCACTAAATGTTAAAGAGGGTAAAGCAGAGGTGTCAAAGTGGTTCCTGAAATGGCCGTGTGGCTGCAGGTTTTCTTTATATACAATTATAGATCATTAAAATGATAGCACTACAAATGAACATTTATGCTATAAAAAAATTTAAAACTTTAAAATGTATATTTAATTTTAAAATATTTAAAATAAATATATATATATTTAAAATGCATAATTTAAAATATATAACATTTTTGTACTGCTATCATTTTAATGATAATAGTTTGTAGAGGTCATCAAAGGTCAGTGAACATCTGTTCATGTTGAAACTGAATTTTATATAAATTATAAGTTGCTAACCTATGAATATGATTAAATTTTAACCTGAAGAAAAAAAAATAGCAACACAAAAGACAATTTTTGTTGCACAAACCAGCACTAACAGAGTCGAGTTAATTGACACTCATTTTGTCTGATTTGAAGAAGGTGGGGGGGCTGGTTGACCTTTGATGACCTCTACAAACATTTCTTTATATCTTTAAAAATATAGCGGCACAAACGAAAAGTTTTGCTTCACAAACGTTTCACACCAATTTGGTCTAAAGGTGGGGGGGGCAACTTCACTCAGGTATCAAAACCCTATTGAGAAACTCCAGGACACCATTATGTAGAGTAATACGAAATAGTTAATTTTGGTTATTTACTGTAAAAGCAAGAAGTCTGATGTTATTTGCATTTTTTATTTTTTTTTTATTTATTACATTTCTAATTTTTAGTCTGTTTTTCTTTAAAAAGATACGTAATTTTTAATCTTCTCAAAGTATGCCGTTTTTTAATGTTACGTAATTTATCTTTTTTATTCTCATGCTTCCCTTTGTATTTCATTTTGCTACTGTATATTTTTTTTTCTATGCAGTTTGTACACCGACTAGATTATACCAAAGTTTTAGATCTTCAGTACTTTCCCATTAAAAATGAGGGGAGAACTTGTTTTTGTGAGATACCGTACACATAGCTACAGGTGCTGGTCATAAAATTAGAATATCATGAAAAAGTAGATTGATTTCAGTAATTCCATTTAAAAAGTGAAACTTGTATATTATATTCATACATTACATACAAACTCATATATTTCAGATGTTTATTTTGTTTAATTTTGATGATTACAAATGACAACAAATGAAAATCTCAAATTCATCATATCAGAAAATTAGAATATTGTGAAAAGGTTCAAAATTGATGGCCCCTGGTGCCACACTCTAATCAACTAATTAACTCAAACCACCTGCAAAAGCCTTTAAATGGTCTTTCAGTCTAGTTCTATAGGCTACACAATCATGGGGAAGACTGCTGACTTGACAGTTGTCCAAAAGACGACCATCGACACCTTGCACAAGGAGGGCAAGACACAAAAGGTCATCGCTAAAGAGGCTGGCTGTTCACAGAGCTCAGTGTCCAAGCACATTAATAGAGAGGCGAAGGGAAGGAAAAGATGTGGTCGAAAAAAGTGTACAAGCAAGAGAGATAACCGCACCCTGGAGAGGATTGTGAAACAAAACCCATTCAAAAATGTGGGGGAGATTCACAAAGAGTGGACTGCAGCTGGAGTGAGTGCTTCAAGAACCACCACACACAGACGTATGAAAGACATGGGTTTCTGCTGTCGCATTCCTTGTGTCAAGCCACTCTTGAACCACAGACAGCGTCAGAAGCGTCTTGCCTGGGCTAAAGAGAAACAGGACTGGACTGCTGGTGAGTGGTCCAAAGTCATGTTCTCTGATGAAAGTAAATTTTGCATTTCCTTTGGAAATCAAGGTCCCAGAGTCTGGAGGAAAAGAAGAGAGGCACTTCATCCACGTTGCTTGAAGTCCAGTGTAAAGTTTCCACAGTCAGTGATGGTTTGGGGTGCCATGTCATCTGCTGGTGTTGGTCCATTGTGTTTTCTGAGGTCCAGGGTCAACGCAGCCACATACCAGGAAGTTTTAGAGCACTTCATGCTTCCTGCAGCTGACCAACTTTTTGGAGATGCAGATTTCATTTTCCAACAGGACTTGGCACCTGCACACAGTGCCAAAGCTACCAGTACCTGGTTGAAGGACCATGGTATCCCTGTTCTTAATTGGCCAGCAAACTCTCCTGACCTTAACCCCATAGAAAATCTATGGGGTATTGTGAAGAAGAAGATGCAATACACCAGACCCAACAATTCAGAAGAGCTAAAAGCCACTATTAGAGCAACCTGGGCTATCATAACACCTGAGCAGTGCCACAGACTGATCGACTCCATGCCACGCCGCATTGCTGCAGTAATACAGGCCAAAGGAGGCCCAACTAAATACTGAGTGCTGTACATGCTCATACTTTTCATGTTCATACTTTTCAGTTGGCCAACATTTCTATAAATCCTTTGTTTTTATTGGTCTTCAGTAATATTCTAATTTTCTGATATGATGAATTTGAGATTTTCATTTGTTGTCATTTGTAATCATCAAAATTAAACAAAATAAACATCTGAAATATATGAGTTTGTATGTAATGTATGAATATAATATACAAGTTTCACTTTTTAAATGGAATTACTGAAATCAATCTACTTTTTCATGATATTCTAATTTTATGACCAGCACCTGTATACACACAGCAGCTCGTTTATCTACCTGCTGAGTAGACGCTCTCCCTATTGTTTAATAGCTTTTCTATTTAGAAGAACAGTCAGACACAAAACCCACACCTAATGAGTCACATCACATCCAAAAATACTTGAGGCTGAGGGAGCTTATGCTGAACAATAACAAAAGGCTTTTCAGCCCTTATTAAAGATGGAACAAGAGGACTCACCATGGGGGTCTTGTACTTGTGGATCACCACTTCTTTAGTTTCAGGAACTATGTCGGTGCAAGAGACAAAAGAAAGAATTCAAAGGCAGCAGGAACTTTTAGGAGTTCATGTTTTGGGAGTTAAAGGTTGGATTGTAATTATGTGTACGATGAGATGCGGACCAAGAAGTTACACCTAAGCAGTTAAAAAAACTTGTGAATAATTATACAGAGATCAAAGGGTCAGTTTAGGTAAAATGGTTTGCTTCAATTTTAACAAAAAGATTATTTTTCTGATCAAAATCAACTGGAACAGTAGTAGCTGGAGTCCGAATGTAAATGAAGCTGCAGGTGACACATTCATGGCCCACTAAATGGAAAATAAACCACACAAGTGTCTCAACAGACTGTAGAAGTTAGAAAAGTTGAACACTTAATTGAAACATAAATCAGTAGAGATAGAAAGTTAGCCCCTTCCTCCCCTGTGATCGGACATCACAGAAAAGCAGCTAGATGAGGCTAAAACCCTGCCCAGAGGACAGGCGGACTTTTCATTAGTAACTGTGAACCCAGAGCAAAGATGAAGAGGCTGTGCTTGGAAAGGGTGATGAGGGGGGGAGGAAAATGATGAGTCCCTTTGAATCAGCCGTCCCACCTGAGATCTCAGAGGGCTGAGATACAGAGGCGGACCTTCAGCAAAACACGACAACATGAGGAATGTCAGGGTGGGTGTTCAAAACAAAAGAGCAGGTGATGGAGGAAGCAGAGGAATACTTGTTCATACAAAGAAGGTGAAAACGTGTTAATCGGTGCAGTGATGGAATAAGGAAATAATCTGCATGAATCTAGTTTTGAAGAAGAAAGGTGGCGACACTTTACCTGCTGGAGAATGAAGGTTTTCATAGTGGCAAAGATGAGGGCAACATTACAAAAGCAGCACAGAGGCACGACAGTAACCCAGCCAGACATTCTACCTCCTGTGCTGCACTGTCAGAACCGAGTCATCCTTTTTAACTTGAGCTTTCATGTGTAAACAATGCTGTGACTATTCCAACTATTGATCCCGCCCGTCTGACCACGGGTGCAAAACAATCTTACAGTCATCTTTTCCAACAGCAGTGAGTATATTTATCCTTTTTGTAAGAATTCCTTCCATGCTTGTAGAAATGCCAATCAAATTTTAATTTGTCATTTTCAACCTCTGATGCTTTAATCATTTTTTCTCTGTATAGAGTTCAGGACGTGCCACTGAAATCTGAACCGTGCTTCATTTATGTGCTGCTCATTTTTTAAAGGTTCATCAGCACGAGTTGCCGTGGCAACAGCACTGGGTGCAGAGTCTTTTTTTCTCTACACCAAGACGCTGCTGCTAAGAAACAAAGAAATCTCCTTCTGTATGCTGGAGTTGTTTGCTTTTGCTCATTTATGATAATCAAATGATGGCGTCAAAGCCTTGGATAAGAGTGTGCTTTCTAACAGCATGTGGTGGGGAATTCACAGGGGGTCGGTGAGGCACATCCCAGGTTGTATGAAAATGGATGATAGTAACTTCACTAAGCTGAAAGAATCTTTCTTCCTACGAACAACCAGAGGGGAAAAAAAAAAAAAAAAGACATGTTGTCGTTAGGTATCTTAAATGATTCATCATCTATCCCAAGCCTCTTTCAGTCCAATTGTGTCTCTGTATATTAGGAACTGTTGTTTTGCTGACGGAGTGTGTAAAGATGAATGCCTACACAAAGGTTAAACTGGCTTCCGATCAGCTGCCTTCATTTCAAAAAGAAAAAACATTATAACTGTCCCACACTTTGCTGCCAGACCTCTTTTCTACAGCTGATAGCATCAGAACTGATCTGTCTGCTGGACTATAGGTCACCAGTTCACAGAGGCTTTCATATGTCAGATTATCTTCAGGTGGACTTGTAGTCAAGATTCTTCTTCAAGGTCAAAGCAATGTAAGTTCTTATGGTTCAATTTAGTCGTAAATTGAATGGTTTTTAACAGGTATTAAAAAATAAGCTACAGAAACCATAAGTGATCTTTTGTTTACTAAAACTAAAACCTGTTTTCTAAAAAATCTATACATGGTTCAAGGAATATATTTAATAGTAATTTGGGAACATCTGTATTGTCTGTTGATTTCAAAACAAGGGATCCTAGAATAATATATTGTTCACTAGGTTAAATGTCTAACTTTAACAATAAAGCAAAGTTTAAAATATTCCTAATTATAGTATTCAGAGAAAAAAAGAAAAGTAAATTGTAAAATAGTGAGTTTTTTTCTTGGGCTTTCATTTCCTGTTGCAGCATTTTAGCAAAAGACTTCATGTTTACTGTCAAGACACAAAACTGACAGTATGACAGAAACAGTGTTTGCTGTGATTAAGGAACCTGAGAGCAACTGAAGAGTAACTGATTGGAGAATAATTTATTGTTGCTTTAAAGGATCGCTCATGTCTGAAAAAGTTTTTTTTCTGACTTATCTCTTTGTTACGGAATGTTCACCTGTTAGAAAAAGAGCAGATAAACCATCTTCTAATCTATCCCATCTCCAATCGTCACTCATTTTCCTTCCCATAAACTGCATTAGGTGTTCCTTTGACCTCTGTGTAACTGAAAACTAATCCTTTGTAAAATCATGGCCGTCTTCCCCTCCTGCAGACATCAAAAGCTCATCCTTCCTCAAACAGAATGAGGATTCAATTTAGCAAACCTTTCTAAGCTGTCATCAGTGAATTTGCCATAAAGCTGAGTTACTGCCGTGCCGAGTACAGGCCTAAAATCAATAGATGGTGTAATTACCAAATTCCTCCAGGACAAAGACTCCCTTCACTGTATTGCACTTTTTAATGTGACTCAGCTCTATGAAAACCTAAAAACAAACAAAAACAAACAAAAACAAGACAGAACATTATTAACTTAACAACACCGGATGAAGAGTAAACACTTCATATTTAGAAAACAAAAGAAATTAACCATGTTAAACTTGTTTCATTCAGTATGAAAGGTAAAAATAAAAACAACTACACATGAAATGCAAGCGCTTAAAAGCTACCAAAAGAAAAGAAAGACACTATGAGAAGTTTCCATGGTCAAACGCATACATGGGCAATGAGAAGAAATGCATTTAGTCTGTTCAACACCAAGTCTGAATAACTCATTTGGTCAATGAAGCTCATCCGGTATAAAAAAAAACTTGTGGTTAATCATATAGAGATGATTTTGTTATGGCAATATGGCCCATATGATGCAAACATGGAAGTTCTATACAAAATGAAGACAAGGACATAAAATTAGACTTGCCATACACTACAACAGTAAAAAAGAAAAACAGGTAGAGGAAACAAAAGGAACCCAATAAGATGTAACTGCTAATAAGCAAACACAGCAGAGGTTGTGTACCTTCCGCTCCTTGCAGGGGGAGAGAGCATGGGAGAGAAATGGTTTGGATTATTATCGGACAAAAGAGCACAAACACTCGACGACACTCCGAGAGGGCGCTATGTATCTGCAGGAGCCTCGTAAAGGTTCAAATCAAGAATCGGAGAGAGCCAATGAATAAAAGGAAAAAAAAACCCACCACAGGAGGATTCAACCACAAGAGCTGGCAAATAGGAATAAAAGAAAGGTACTCAAGTTTGACAAGAGTGCTGAGAAATTTAATCACCTTTGTTTTCCTGGATTTTAAAACATCTCAGTCCCCCACAGCCCTCCATGCCTCCTCCTCCAGCAACAAGGGCTGGCACCAACATAACTCGCTCACAACAGCAGAACAGGTACGCGAGGGCAGAGCGTAAACCCCACTGGCATGTAGGATGTTTCCTTTATCACTTCAGAACAAGACATCCAAGCTCAACACAAAGCAGTCTGAAAAACTAGTTTTACAAAAAAAAAAAAAACTGGCATCCACATAGTTTTATCTAAATAGCAGACTTCCATCAGGTAATCATTTCTAAGAGAGACATAAAGGTGCCATATTTTATATTCTAGAAAATGAGGCCTGAACAAATTCAGACTGTGAGCCTGAAGGAAAAAAAATAATAAAATAAAACTTTTAACAAAGGTCCAGGTCTTAAAAGATTTTTTTTACCAGTCAAACATTTTACTCTTTGTCTTCTTAAAGACAAAAAACAAAACTGTCCGTTACTGGGATTTGACAGGTGGATTGTTAAGGAGTGCAGGGTAAACGACATCCAACTTTTTACAAATAAATATCTGAAAAGCGCGGTGTGAGCATAACTATTGACAGAAGAAAAGAATCCCCTTAGCATGATGCTGCCACTACCATGTTTCATCATGGAGATTCAGTGGGCTGTTTAATGTTCATTTCCCTCCATGCATAGATGTACATGTAGGCTGAATAGGTCCTGTCAACAGTCTACCTTAGGAGATCTCTACAGCTTCTCCTGACTTGACATAGGCCTCTTGGTTTGTTTCTTATGTTAATCTACAAAGTCATCCACCTACCTGACAAACCGAGCACATTAACAGTCGTGAGCTACTCTTTTTAGCACCAGGTGACTACCTAGATGATGCTCTATAAGATTGTTCATTTGTTATATCATTTTAACCTAACCCAACTTTATATGATTGCCCTTCTCTCTTTGACATGTCTGCTGTCTTCCTTAATCTTTGTGGTGCCGTTTGTGCTCTAGAGTTTTCTAAAAGAATCCCAAAATTTCAGATTATCTTAAGATAATAAATTAAAATGAAACTTTTATAACAAATCAGGTGACTTCTGAAAGTATTAGATTGCAACAGACTTTATTTAGGAGTACTAGAATGACAGGGACTGAAGGACTATGCATTAAAATTAAGTAAATCATTTTTGTAAATAAAAAAATAATAAAAATAAAGTGAAGTTTCTGGTTGTAGTGTGTCAAGATAGTCAAAAAAGGTTAAGAGTGATCCAAGTTAAATGCTCTTTTAGTTTAATTCAACCTGGGAAAGATAGGCTTCATGAATGAAGCTAACTGCTAACTGCCTTCCACAGTAATGTCACGTTTTAGTGACCAAAATGAGGCCGTCACACAAAAACAGGGTTAGAACTTCTACTTTGCAGACAAAGAGAAACATTTTCTAAATATCTTAATAAAAAGATATTTATCTCAGCAAAAAATATCTAGAGCAGATACTTAAAAATAAATATATGCTACTTGTCAGGAGATTGTTCTTTCTTCGGTAATTTGGGTAACTCAGGTTTATTATCATCTTCTCTGCAAGTAGTCATTCATTGCTCAGTACGGGAGAGCTTGCCTTCAGTGTTTAGACATGGAAAGGTACTGTCCTGTTTCATTATGGAAATTAAAAAAAGCAAATACTAGAAAGGATGATAAGAGTTTCCAAATCATATAAAAGTAGTTGCTCATAATGTGAATAAAGGTAATAAAATTGTACTTTTTGCTGAATTTAAGTCTTTGTTGACTGCGTTATGGATCCTATTCTTTCAGATCTTTTCCTCATGCTAATCAGCTGAGAAAATACACAAGCCCAAACTGTCACTGTCTACAGACGTGACGACAACACATGGCAATGTTGAAGGGTCCAAACTCAAAATGAAAAGTTGCTATTATAACATAGCCAATTATTAATGAAAAGTCTTTGCTTTAGGTCATCTGTCTAATCACCGTTGCACAACAAAGACACACACACATACGCACAGATTAACACATCGTTTCTTCCCACACAGTAAATGAACATGAGGTCTGTGTACCACAGATGTCAAAGGAAATTGTGAGGTATGAGTTGACATTGATTTAAACACAAAAAAAAGGCATGCATCCATAAACACAAACGTTCAAACATAAAAAAAAAAAAAGAGCTAATCCAAAAAAAGCAAAAGCACAAACGGGAATTCTTCCTCTAGTGGAAAACACACGTCGATACCAGCCAATTAAGTATGTCAGAATGATTCACTTGAGTTACATTTTTATTAAGGTTTTTAATGACAATAGAGGAAGATGTAACAGGATGAAAGGAAATGCCATCGATGTGTAGGAGACAAGGAGAGATGGGGACAGAAGGACGGGATGAACTCTGAGCCATCATGAGTAATTGTTTTTATTCTCATGCCCTAATGTGAGATCAGACAGTTTCTCTGCTGTGGTGATGGCCTCCTACCTGGCTGTGCATGAACTTCAGGTTGATTCCTTCCAGCGTAACCTGAAGCAGTCCACCTTCACCAGTTTTCATGTCCTGGACAGGGAATTCACCGCCGAGCTCCGGACCTGAGGAGGAGATTCACAGCATTTTTTCTCCCCCCTCCCAAATGTCAAGTTTTCCTCATTTCCACTTGTGGACCTCTAAATCCACTTCAGACATATTTTCAGTTTAAATAGAGAATAACACCATTTATTGCAGATTACTGCATCAGTCAGGCTTTAAATGGATGGATGGATGGAAATAGAAATGAAGTTTAGAGATTTATTATGTATTCTGCAGCCCTGTTTTTTTTTTTCTGAATAAATCTAATAAAGAAAATGAGTAAACCAAAACAGTGTTCTCTCTACTCTCTCTGACATTGATTGTATCAGAAGTTTAACCTGGTTTAATGCTCTGCTGTCTCGCTGCGGCTCTCTCCATGCTGTCTTTAACACAATAGTAGAGCTCCCGACACTGAAATAAACAAAAGAAAGTTAGACAAATTGATCCCCAACTTCCTCCCGAAAATCTTGCAGCGGCGCTTGGCATACAGCTTCAGACCTTTTTCGTATAGAACTTATTGAGCTGCGTCTCTTGGCCGTTACGTCTCCAAAGACACAGCACCTTGGTCTTGGGGCAGTACGTCATGTTAATGAGCTTCTCGTACCACCAGCGCTCATAAACTGTCCCAATGTTGCTGCGCAGGACTATGCAGTCGTCACAAACCTACAACAGTGATTAATGTTGATCGTTACGAAAAAGAAAAACGGGATGCAAAATATGCAGCACAGAGGAACGCATTTCTTTACCTCCATAAAGAAGATGTCTCCTGTTGTATCAGTACCAGCGTGAACAACAAATGTTTGTTTCTTGATGTGACGACTCCCACTGGGCCTGATGGACAGCTCACGGCCGTTCTACATGAGATTGGTGAAAATAAATGGCAGGAAACCAAAAGAGGCTAAATCTAAATGATAAAAAGTGGGAGACATAATCACCATATTGGCCAGTTTGTCAAGTAGCTCGTTAATCTCTTGGCTGTATGTGAGTCCGATGTGAGATTTGCCCATCAAACGTCTCACTTTCTTCCTGATATCATTTTTGCTTACCTAAATGAACAAAAATCAAACTAGTTCACTCGCATCAAGGAGAAACATCAAAATAAAGAGATTAAAAGACTTCCGTACTTTCATCATAAGCATGTAAGCAATCATGTTGTGTAGCAGGGTGGCCAAGAGTCGGTCTTCATCATCCTCCAGACGCTTGCGATCGTGCTCTCCAAGTGACAGGTATCTGAGTTAACGTGTGAAACAGACTGCTTTAGAGAACAGATCGTCTAAAGATTGTCAAAAATAAACAGATATAGTTCAGAAAACCTGTCAATCATTTCGTGGGGTCCCTGGTCCATCCCCATTCCTTCACGCTCCAACATCACAGCATCTAAGAAGGCATCCTCCCAGAACTGTACTTGATCCCAGAGGGTGGAGCGCTCCTTACCTGAAATTAATGATCTAGTTTGTCTTACAGCATATGTAACACCTGCCAACATAAATCATTTCTTTTTAAGCATATATTTACTCTCTACTAGAAAACAAGGTGTGAAATACAAGTTGATAAAAGTAAATCCTGTCAGTGCTTTTATTTTATTTTATTTTATTACTTTTATTTATTTTAGTTATTTTATCTTTTTGTGCAGCACTTTGGAAACCTTGTGTTTATTTAAACCGTGCTATATAAATAAAGTGGATTGGATTGGATTGTTCTGTGCTGCATAGGTACTTCATTTTCCACAGTGGTCTAGAACCTGAACTTTTAGTCTCAGCACTTTTAAAAAATACATCAAAGGTTAATCCCGAAAGGCTTAATGTCTTGAAATATCCAATAATTATGAGTTTTAAATCTGTAAAATTATGCAAGGCTTTGCAGGTGTCTTTGACTAAAATAATCTAATAACATTCATTATTTACATTTTAAATGTCCTTGAATCACAAAAAAAGTTAAATACCCCAATAAATAACCACAATATAAATGTTTGATGATATAAAAAATTGTTTTTAGAGACATAAAATGACAAAAAAGCTTGTTTTAGGAGCATATCAATCAACTGTGAACATCTGGGTCTGTTTATCCACAATTACGACAACAGCCAGATTGATGTGCGGCTTCTTCTTTGGACTAAAGTAAGCAAGTGTTTAAAAAAGGAAAAAAGGATACAAATGAAATATTAAGCTAAATCTAAATTAAAATCCTTTTATGGCAAATGAGGAAATGTCGGAGACTTTAATATGGTGACCTTTACTAGTCTCAAAGAGACACTAAAACAGACACCCCTTCACACTGCACTCTGAGGGATGTTAACACATCTTATTCTCTAAAATACTTCATATAAATTACTACAATAAATAATTTTATAGACAAAAACATTTAATTGATTCTGCTTCCAAAAATGCAAAGATTCTTGACTCAAACTCTATCAATGTTATTTTTATTTGTCCATTCCAAATAAAATTCAGAAAAATACATGTAAACTACATGTAAATCTTTGTATAAATGAGCCAATAATTTCCTTACACGTTCTTTGTTAAAATAATCTATCACTAAATTCCTCATGAGAAATCTAAACCATCACTTTTCTTCCCCAAAACGCAGCCAAACATTTGACTGATATAAATCAATGACTAAGGTTGAGAAAACAACACATGGATATGAAAGAAACACTTATTTATGCCTTCAAAATTGCTAAACTTTTTCACATTTAATTAAGAATTTCTACATCTAATAATATAGAAATGTGTTTTATACAGTATTTATATACTGATTTTATCTAGCCTATTAAACAAAACTATTTCAAACTTTCCTTAAAAATAATCAGAATAATAATTTTAACCATCACTTTAGGTATTTAATACTGCTACTTATAACTAGTGTTGCACCGATACCAGTATCAGCCGGGGCCCCGATCCAGCACTAAAATTGTGGTATCGGTATCGGCGAGTACCAACAAGTAGGGCACAGATACCATTTTCAGAGCCAAAAGTTTATTCAATTATTGTGACCCATTCCAGATAGGCAATAAAAGTTCTACTGGATTCACTTTGTATTAGTCTATTTCCTGCTTCACAAAGGTATGAAGCAGCTTGACAAAGCCACAATGGCAATTATTTTACATCCAAGTAGTATCCAGTTCTTTATACATATACACACACACATCAAGATGGTATCAGTATGGTATCGGTCAATACTGCACAGCCAGGTATCGGGGCCAAAAAATGGCATTGGTGCAACACTACTTATAGCTCTAGAGGAAAAAGAACACCATCTATTAAGAAATTACTGGAAATATCCAAACCCATTTAAGTTATTATGCAGTGAAGAACCGTTGACATATGAACTATATTAAGAACTATTTAAAATATAGTAGTTCAATAGAAATACAATCAGAGTTTGGGATGCAACAAACTGATACCCAAACTAAGTAGATGTGAAATAACTTATAAATCAACTCATTGTTCCTATCTTTAAGCAAATCTATTCGTGTTAGAATTATTAAACAATTTTAAACAAATATCACAGCTTCCCTATGGATAAAACCTTAACCATACTGCTGGCTAAGACCTAATTTCACACGGATTTGGAGCTTATTAATGAACAGGTGTTTCCCATCAGATACACTAAAAGGCTGAAATTAAAGAGTTAGAGTACCGAGGACAAAACACAATCCACAAGCACACACAGATAACCACCAACAAGCAAAGGCAAGAGATCAGCCCTACTTAGAGAAAAGGTTTCCATGGCCGCATCCTCTAGCTGATCCCAAACGGAGCTCTTATCCCGCCCTGGAGAAATTTTCCACGGTGAGCAGCAGAAGGAGAAAAAAGCAGCGAGAGCAGCACGGGGGTTAGGAGAAGAGGTGTAAGTTGGTATGATGACAAAAAACGAGACCAGAGCAAGTCGAGAGGCACACCACAGAAACATGACAGGGATTAATACACACACCACCTTTTTTGTTATCTTTAAACACACCATTTAAGAGCCTTTGCATCAGGAAATTTCACAGACAAGAACAGCCATTGGGACTCTAGCTGTGTTGAGTTTTAACCCAACTGTTTATTTTTTGTTTTTTACTTGCTCAATTTCCGTAAACACTTCTGACTTTAACTAGGACATACTGTTATATTCTACAGAATGATGCAGCTTTTTGGTGCAGTTTTACACAGTTCCTAATATATGAATTCAATTCAGCTCCATTTCTTCTTAAACACATATAAACTACATTTGCATCTCTAATTTTTTTTTTTTTATCTGAAGAAATAACAACAAATAACTTAGTGTTTTAGTCAAGACCACACCGAACAAGGAGTATCAAGACCAAGACCAAATGAGGTCTCAGTCTTGGCCTTGTCTTGGTACTGCTTGGTCTCATTGGTACGGTCTAAAGAAACTACAGTACTGAGAAACTAAATATTAGGTCAAAATACATGAAATCACCACTGATAAACAACAGATGCAGAAAAAGGGACTACTTGACAAGTTGACATGAAGGATACATTCCCTTTAAACACCAGCAGCAAGAATCTATATAGTGGAAGTTTGTGGGGGAAAAAATGGATGAATCAAGGAGCAGCACCTACCCAACAGGCCTTCAAAAAGATAAATCCTCATACTGATGTCCTCCATCGGTTGTACAGGAGGTGTTTTGACCATTACGGGTAAATGATCTTTGGCCCCGGGTTTAAGAGTATGGGTCCTTCCCTGTGGAAGGAGGAAAAGATCAAGTTAAAATGGTCGCATGATTACAAAGTTTATTTATATGAGAAGAATAAAACCTTTTGTAGTCCATTAAAGGCTTCAGTTACCACTGAATACTCTGTAGATATAGTGTTAACTTCTTGGAGAACTGTTTATGATTGTTGGCCATTGTGGGCTGTGTTTCTGAGGGGAACGAGCTGGAGTACTGGTTGGTCATCATGGGCATTGTGGACTGGTGTGAGAACAACCACCTTTTTAAGCAACAGTAAGACCAGGGAGATGGTGATCAACTTTAAGAGAAGTCCCCCACCTCACTCCCCCGTGAACATCCAGGGGCAGGACATAGAAACTGTTGAGTTTCCATTACCTTTGTGTTCATGTCAACAGTAAACTGGACTGAACTCATAACACAGACGCCCTGTATAAGAAGGGCCAGAGCCTCCACCTCCTGAGGAGGCTGAGGTCCTTTGGAGTGAGCAGGCACCTGCTTTAAACCTTCTATGACTCTGTGGTGGCCTCAGCGCTCCTCTATGCTGTCGTCTGCGTAGCACCTGGCAACGCAGAGCGGGACATAAAGAGACTGAACAGACTGGTAAAGAGGGCTACTTCTATCCTGGGCTGCGCTCTGGACTGTGGAAGAAGTGGCCAAGAGGAGGGTGTTGTTCAAGCTTACATCCATCATGGACACCTTCCACCCTCTGCACCAGGCTGTAAAGGAGCTGAGCAGCTCCTTTAGTGAAAGACTTATACATCCCATGTGTAAAAAGGAGCGCTATCTCAGGTCATTAATCCCTGCCACCATCAGACTTTACAATGCCACTGCACTATAACCTGGTCTAATAAGACTGCAATAATCTATTCTAAGTTGCAGTTACAATACTGAAAGGCTACCAGGGATGATTTAGATCATTGTTTATTAAACAGTTTGGCTGAATTTTGACATTCGGCAAAATATTAGGGTTTCCCTGTATTATTATCAGAGCTCTAAATTGAAATATTTTGAAGAGTTTGAGCAAGAAAAAAAGAAAAACCTGCTAAAATGTGGGCTGATCTTCAGAATAATCAATCAAGTCACAGCTACAGTTTTTAGATAATTTTTGGAAGCAGCAGAAACAATGACAGAATGTTGGGCTACAACTACAGAGGGATTAAATACCTTCGCCTTTCATTTAAAACTAAACAAAAAGCCAGTTCAACAACTTTAATCGCTCTGGTTGTTACCATTACAATCCCCAAACTGTCTGCCTAATTAACACTGCTATTTGTTCCACTAATGCCCGATGCTAAAGTGAGTCCATTCATTTCAAGGCTGCATAAAATTGACCTTGAATTAAGCAAAAAGCAGTGTGTGATGCTCCTGCAAATAGCATATTGAGGTCATGATGCTGCAGCTGCTCACAACCAGAGCACTCTCTCTGATGATATTTATACATTAAGAAAAATTACTTGTACTTTAGGAGCGGTATCAGTGACAATTCCCATAGTTATAAAACAAACCACTGGACTGTGTTTCCAAATTTAAAGACGTTTCACTTTCCAAACCAGTAAACAAAGTCCAGTGGTTTGTTTTGTACTTTTTTGGAAGGCCTATGACCTGGATGACAGAGAATCTTCACCAATGTATCAGTAAAAACTTTTGTGGTTTTAATGGCATGAAACTAGTTGCTGGGCCACACCTACTGTGTACATAAAGTTTGATCCTTTTTTTAATGAACTTACAAACACAGAGCTTGTGGCTGGATTGGTTTCGATCTCGCTGTCAGACAGAGTTCCTCTGGACTGATTCAAATGAGGAGCAGTTCTCCCTCCGAGACCATCTCCTGCAGTGCTGCTTAGGTCGCTGTCGGCTCCAAGGGTCTCTCCAGAGCTGTTGCTAATCTAAATAAGTAAATAAAACAGAGCATTAAGAAAAAAAGATACATGATAATGTCCCACATGTAGAGTTACAGGTCATAACATTCAGGGCAGTGTTGTTTTTGTCAGTGATGAAAAAATCATTTCGTTGATGCTCCTTTTTTTCATGACGAAACGAAAACCGACAAGTTAAACAAGGATCTTTGATGACAAAAACATGACAAGCCATTGGTTTGAGTTTTCGTCAACGAGACGAGACTAAATAAAAATATAGCCGGTCGTCAGTCAGACGTTTAAACTGCATCATTGTGCTGTAAACTGCTAAGCAGCATCACCCGTGCTGCTGCGTCATTGAAAACCAAAATAAATAAATGTGGATTATGTCACGTGTTTAGTTTTTGGATAAAAACTATAAAACTCTTCTTTTTAGACAAAGGTTATTATATCAAGGCCATCAAATAAGGGCACACATACCAAGCCTATAATAAATGTTATGTTATCTAAGTTGGCCGTGCCCTACCACTGTGCTGGCCTCCGAGTCCTGGCTGGTGCTTCTTGTGAGGATCGGCGGCTCTGAACTGGTAACAGACTCTGTGTCGCTCTTCTATACAACCAGAGAGAAATGAAGAGAAAATGGGTTAGTGCTTGGACTTGGTTTTCTTCCTAAAAGCTGAAAATAATCATTTGGTATAATCTGAGCTATCCCTTTCAATGTTCTGCATTCTGATTATTATTCAAAGCTCAAAGTGAAATGAAAACATAATAAACCCATGCTATGTACCATAAACAAACGTCTACGAGTCTGTTATGGGACTGTGCATTTATTTAATTATGTTTTTGAGCTGAACCATGTACTTTCACAGAGCTGAATTAGGCGTACAAACCTGAGAGCCAGATGCAACACTAAGTCCACTATCAGCACTGATCTGTGATTTCTTCTCCTCTGCGTCAGTCACCTGCGGGCGCTGCTGCTTTCCCACTTCAGCCCCTGCAAATTAAATCTAATCATCAGCCTGTTTTACATGTGACCTCATGCTGTCCTTACCTTGCAGGTTGGCCTCCCTGAAAACCTACACAGCATAGAAGCACTGACTACATCCATGAGAAGGGTCAAAGGCTCTGCAGTGCACACATGATGTGTTGTTTAGGCAAAGCACACTGGATAACAGCAGCTTTACAAAGTTTGAGAAAAAAAAAAAAACATTTTATATCAGATTAGAGCTGCTACCAGCTTTAAAGTACAGGGAGGGATTTTATACCTATTTTAGAAAATAGTCAGTTGTTTCACAAAAAATCCTGTGTAAACTATTCAGTTGCGAAACAAAGCTACCGTAAGTCAACTTCAAAAGAAAGAAGGGACAGAGCCAAGCACAGTAAGCTGTTAACATTGCAATTTAAAAAACATTACAAATGAAAACAAAACTGCAAGAACAAGACATTTTTCAGTCAGTGTTGCAAATGTGGCCCAATTTACACCAAACCCCACAAACAAACACAGGCAGTTAGGCATGCAGACAAACTCATGGTCAGTAAAGGAGACATTTTCTGTTTCAAGTGTGACTGTTGTTTTATCATTTCTGTACGTGAATATGAGGCGACACGTGTTTCCTTACAGGTCTGTGTGTAGTTCTCACTTTTTTGCAATATTTAACTTTGGCAAAGAAATTCATAATGCACCGGCAAAGTCTGAAATGTTGGCTGTAATATTACAGCAAGCCACTTGAAACTGGAAAAAAGTACAGTTAAAAAGAGCAGGACAGGGCAGCAGGTAATCATTTCTGCTTATCTTGATGCATGATTGCAAGAGAGAAAAAGAACATTTTAAACAAAAATACATTTGGCTTAGTTTAAAACAATCCTTATTACTGAAAGAGGCAGTCATTTTATTTTATAGGTAGCCAACCAACAACCTGAAGGATCTCGGAAGTAATTTGCAAATGTTTCTAAGGATTTTAACTTTTTCACATTTTGTCTTGTTTTGCTTTGAGGGTTATCAAGTTGGAAAGTAAGATAAATGTTTGTTTTTTTACTTTTTTCTTTTACAAGTAAAACTAAAATATACTCCGTTTTTATTTTGTCCCTATCTAAATGCATTTATCCATCGTTGTTTTGCATTTACAGCCACAAACTGAGGTTTGACTCTACCAGATTTAAACATCTATAGACTGAATACTTTGCCAAAACTTTTTTATCTAAGATATTTAAAAGGTTGACTCAGCCTGACTGAGGGGGATTCTTTATCAGTTTGGCTAGTGGACTTTGATTAGGCCATTCTTACAAATATCAGCTGATCTAAGCCATTCCATTGTAGCAATGGCTGTTGGTTTACTTTGACAGTCCAGTTGGAACATAAGCATCAACCCCAGAGTCATTGCGTATATCAGCTCAAACATGTTTTCTTCAACGATTGTCCTGTATTTACATTCATCTATCTTCAACTTTTACCAGCTTTCTTTTCCCCGCTAATCAGCCCCACATCAAATTCCTGCTATCTCCATGTTTTGGTAAATATGAAGACTTTCTTTGGTTAACAGCTACAGTACCAGGGTCGGTAGCTATAAATGTCTGTTTCAGGATGTCTCAATTATTGCAGCGCTGTTGCCAGAAAAAAAGCAACAATGTTGTTAAATGGCAAAAAGTAAGGACTCTCTAGAGGTATGATTGCCTTTAGAAGGCACTGTAAAATTTAGATGATTTTTTTGTGTTTTGTAAAAAGAAAAAAAGAAAAAGAAAAAAGTGCATGAGAAAGGGTAGCTTTTGTAATTTCTCACAGTAATAAATCTAGTCTACTACCACTTTTATGAATGTACATTAATCTCTAATTTAGTAAACAGTAAATCTACGATACAACATCCTAAATAAAATGTGTAAAACAAGATCTCTCGTTCTAGATGTAGAAAGCAACTGAATCCTGATACAATTAAAATTTCCCATTAATAAGCAAATATCTAAAAAAAAAAAAAATTATATTATAACTCAAAACATGACCAGAATTTGGAGGATTTGTCAATTTTGATCTTCTTGGATCAGCGCTTGTTGCACTTAAAAAAAAAAAAAGACACGAGTGAAAGAAGAGGTAAAAAAGTGAAAAAATAAGGGGTAGGGAAAAATTCACTCCAACACCCCAGTCTTTTCTTTTTTTGGTGTGTGAAAAGTCTCTTACTCTGTTGTTTTTCCATAGCTTTTTGCTTATCCTGGTGCTTGCTCCACAATTCTACCCAAGATGCATTGCAAGCAAGGAGAGAAAGACAGAGAGAGAGTCAAAGAGCTGGTTGAAAAGGCATGTATGGTGGGTGAGCATTAAAATCAACTCAAAACAAAAGAAGCATTTTAATTCTGTTACGTTATTAATTGAGGTGTTTTGTAATGTTTGCATGTAGTGTTGATTTATTTTAAAACAAAAGTTTTTTTTTAACAAATATGCCTTGGACATTATTGGATTTACTATACAACAGCTACTTAGGTAACATTACAACACACCCCTAGCCCTCCACACAGAGACCTGGAGAGCCACACAGTGCTGTTAGAGAACCATGGCTCAGACCATCTACATTAGTCCATTGCATCTGTCTGGCTCTCCAGAGCAAAGGTGAAAACATGATGGCTGAGTGGGAAAGAGCATGGGATGACGTTGATAGGCCGGCTAGCCAGTGAGTGAAATGGAGTAGTTGCAAAAGCTGGGATGCAACTCTCACAGCATTCTGTAGAATTGAAGGTGCAACTTCTAAAAGGTAGAAAAGGGTGATGGTAGGAGAGGTGTGGGTGGACGAACTCAGAACAGTCCCCCGTAGACAGACCCAGAATTTCATCAATAAAAAATGAGTTAGAATTAAAGATGTAACAGAAAAAAACATGTCTGTTGTTCCAATTTTCTATATACTGGGACTGTTTACTGGGGAGAGATGGTTCCACCCTCCATGCTGAGAGCAAAGGGAGCTGTTGTTTTATTTTGTTTCTTTTTTTTTTTTTTTACTTTCTACAGCACACCTTGAAGAAACCTGCAGTAAAGGCTCAGACAAACACTGATTGGACTATCGATGTGTATGACTATTTTCCCTCATCCCCTACTGCAGATTTTCACATTGCAAGAACAAAACAAACACATGCATTCAAGGTGCTAGTAAGCCAACAACAGAACCTCAAGGAGGAAAACAGCTTCACAGATGTTTAAGGAAAAGGGCACAAACACACACAATCCAGGCTGGAAACAGGACGTATATTCCAGACACTTCAAAACTAATTCATATTCATTCAACATCTTTAATTTAATTTTAGGTTTATTTCTAAAAGTAATGTGCATAAATAATTAAGCAGGTATGATTATCAGCAATAATTTCAGTTTAAGTGTGTGGAATATAAAAGCACCTGTAAGTATCTGTCTGGGACAAGTGAAGGGAACTTTCTCTAAGACGGTTGGAAGTAGGGCGGGGGAGTATAAAGTTGATGAGCTTTTACAGGGGGGAAGGCAGGGAAAAGGGGAAGTTACAGTGCACATGCAACCGGACTTGAGTGGTGTACACACCAATCGAGGCAATAAAGTTCTCCTCGTTCAGACTTCGGGTATCAAAATGGCGGGCTCCTTTGCCCGTGGTGTGGTGAGGCAGCTGCAGCTGGGGGATATTCAGGAGGCCCTGAGGTCTGGCTGTCTCCATACGACCAGAAGGACTCTCTTTACTCCCCGGGCTGCCAGCACTGTCTGTGGGGCTTCGCTTGCGCTTTTCTGGGTCGACCAAGTTATCAAAATTAAGGGGCCAAAGACAAAGTTCATCAAATAAAGGAGAAAGAAGTATATTAAAGGTTAAACTGGGAGGAAGAACATTTATCTGACACAAGCAAAGAAAAGCTCAAGTTAATTAGTGAGATAGTTAAAGTCTGACATGCAGCACAAAGCTCAATATAAATGCATAGCAAAGGCATGGACAAGAGTAAACACCAGGAGCACCTAAAGTTAGACTGAACACATAATCCTTGAGCTTATAAGATTGTAGAAATACTCCTCTATAGATCTCACAATTAGACATAAGCTTAATAAACAGCTGTTCTTAAGTGTTAGGACATACCTTTGGTTTGATAATGTGTGCGCGCTATTTCAAGCAGGCTAAAGACACTAGCCATTCCTCCAAGGCCAGCATTGGTATAGGAGTGCTCCAGACTGGACACTGTACACTTCAGAATGTCCAGCATGCCTTTGTAAACCTTCCTGTTCACCTCCTGGAAAGAAAAGGCAAAGAGTAGGTCTTTGAAAGTTCCCTTTTACAGACATAAACATAAAATGTGTAAATACAGGGAATATTTGTTGCTGGTATGGATGAGACCAGAGTTACTGGATTTATTTTATTCAGTGATTTATAACATAGGAAAAGGTTATTTTAAAACACTTTTACCAAACATAAAAGGAACTGATATATCCTTGAAGTTTGGTTTGTTGAACTGAATATTGCTGATGACAACAAAAATGTTCAACATGTTACCCGCTGATGTATTAAGCTTTCACTGACTCATGAATTATATTTTTATAAAGCACATAAAAAAAATATCAAAGTTCCATGCAAAAGGAGAATAAGTAAAACTAGTGAATTAAACGGACAAAAGAGACAACAAAATACATAGGAACATAGGAAAAGGTTATTTTAAAACACTTTTACCAAACATAAAAGGAACTGATATATCCTTGAAGTTTGGTTTGTTGAACTGAATATTGCTGATGACAACAAAAATGTTCAACATGTTACCCGCTGATGTATTAAGCTTTCACTGACTCATGAATTATATTTTTATAAAGCACATTAAAAAAATATCAAAGTTCCATGCAAAAGGAGAATAAGTAAAACTAGTGAATTAAACGGACAAAAGAGACAACAAAAGACCTCACAGTTTGCAAAAAAGAACACAGATCTCACGCTGTGCATCAAACCAGAGACAAATGAGGAGTTTTCAAAAACGGATTTAAAAGAAGACAGAGGAGCCAGCCTGAGAAGTAGAGGCAACCCACTTCACAACAAAGAGGCTACTACCACAAAAGCACAATCATGTCTGAGCTTCAGACTAATCAGCTGGTTGGCTGACTAAACGAGACTAAAGGTAAGAAAGTCTGTAGGATACCATGAAGCGAGGCCATTCAGACAAACAACACAATCTTTCAATCGATTCTGTAGAATACAGGAAGTCTATAAAAAGCATCCAGCAATGAAGGGCAGAATGGAGTCAAAATTGTCTTAATTTTGAAAATTTCACAGCAGCATAAAGCTTTGTTTTAGCATAGAGGTGATTGTGTGTTACTATCCTACTGAAACACAGCTGGATTTTAAATATGGAGTCATGGAACAGAGATTAACATGGGGGTGTTGGCCTAGTGGTTAGAGCAGTCTACTTGTGCTCAAAGAAGGTTTCAAGTATCAGGTTCGATCCCCACAGCCCGCACTCTGGGTTCCTGAACAAACCCGGCACCCGCACATTGGCAGTGGGCTGCCAATGTGCGGGTGCCGCACATTGGCAGCCCACTGCTCCCAAAGGGGATGGGTTAAACGCAGAGACTGAATTTTGTTGCTCTTTACTTGTGACAGTGTAATGAAAATAAAATGCTGGAAAAAGGAAGAAAAAAAGGAAACCAAAGCCCACTTGGGCAAAATGAGATGACTGCAAACTTCTTATCAGTGAAGCTCAAAAAATTCTGGACCATCAAAGCTTTGAACTTTTCTTGCTGCACAGGGAGTAAACTTTAATTATTAAGGATGGTGAAATGGGAATACTTTGGCTGCTGACAGAAGACAGGCGGCAACAGCCTGGAGGAAGAAGGTTGCTCTACGTGCTTGCAGACAGGGGCAGCCTTTGGAAGGCATTTAGCTAATAAGGTAGCCCGTCTGTGGGAGCATCACTGATGGCCATCTGTTGACTCAAATGTTAAGTTTATGCCATTTCAAAATGAACACGCTACCTTTAGCGCCATTACTGAAATAAGGCATTACTGAAATAAATACCACAGTGTTACCAAAGCAGGCAGCTTGGTCACTGTGCTGATTAGGAGCTTGTCAGGCTCAGATTTTTCCACCACCTTAGGGACAGAAGGACAAGGCGCCGCCTGCTCAGCTGGACACTTTGCTCTCTGAACTGAAGTAGGCAGAAAGAGAGGAGGAGGAAGGAACTCACTATAAGCATGAGGATAAGACAAATGAAGCCATTAAGGTTGACCCTTATAACAATGACTTAGGCCTCTGTGGAGATACTAACACTTATGCACTTATTGAGCAAAAACTGGAACAGCAACATGTAAAAAAAAAAAGACTAACGCACAAGATTCTAATGCACTTAACACAAACTCAGCAATAGAGAGCTTGTTCTAAGGAAATGGCTGTGTTATTCACCATCAAAAGATACCGTGATTCTTTGTGCTTGTTAAATGTCTGCATTTGTGAGTGCTGGAATTTAATGACTGTTAATTAAAGCATGAAAGCTGTAAAGTTCAGAGGAAAGCCACAGTTGCTTATTATTAATCAAATAGCAGATGTTGGGGCGGTAGACTCATAACTAAAGAAACAGTTTAATAGAGCCGGTAGTGGACAGAGGCCCTAGAGGCAGCTAGAACTGTAGTTAATTATTAGACCGAGTACTTTATCCCATAAAGGATAGTAAAAGATATGTGGAGACTAACAATGGAAAATTATTTCCTCTGCAGGTAACAAAAAAAAAAAGTTTTTTTTTTTTATAATTTATCAATTTTATTATCAACATGTTAAGTTTTTGTTAAGTTGAGCCTTTAAGTAACAACTACAGACGCACAGTTATAGAAGGACATGTTTTATAACAAACAGCTGTAACTGCAGCAAAATGAGACAGGTAATTACTTGCAGAAAACACACAAGAAAATGATGCATCCTTTTCGTTTCATATTGTGTTTTTCTGTCATAGAAAATCCAAATAAATTAGTTTTGTTTGTGTTTTTTTTTTTTTATTTAAACAAATGTCAAACAGTTGAAATCACTGTATTATGCTTCCCTCTCACAGAAAAACAGGCATCTCACCACATCACGAATGATCTCCTGTCTGGCGTCTTCCTCCGACTGAACGGCTCTGTTCAGCTTACTCAGCACAAAGACACGCAGCTGCTCGTTCTCCAGCAGTCGGCGCACTTTTTTCATGTTAAGCCAGCCGACGCCCTGTCCGTCTAGAACACTCTGGACAACTTCCTTCAAAAACTGCTGGTTCTCACTAGATCAAAAAACAGAATTTTGAACAGAATTAGGTTTTTGTACAGCTCTCTAAATGAACCAAGTTATCAGCTTTATGTCAAAAAAAAAAAACACCCTAATCAAAATAATAACAGCACACTCTGGTTTCTTAAGATAGTTGAGGAGTTTTATTACCTTGTGTTGTTAACTCGACCCTGTGGTGAGGGAGATTCTCTCTTTACAGTTGGGCTGTGTTTGATCACTGAAGATTTCTGGTCCACAAGTGCTCGAGGTGCACGTGCCCCTGGAAAAAATATTCAGATAAATGCACACTGCAAAAATGATCTAGAAATAAGTAAAAATGTCTTAAATTAAGTGTAATAATCTTTTATTAATTTGAGTAGGTAAATATGCTTTGCCAATGAAATTAGTATTTCCATTCTTAAAATAAAAAGACAGGTGAATAATTTGAGACAATTTCAATTTTCTTCAATTTTTTAAATGTAAATTGTAAGTCTCACCTCCTCAATTCAAGAAAAAAAAAATCACTTATTATAAGAAAAAAATTGTTATTTATATTTCATTATTTTGCAGTACATAATTACATTACTTAGACTAAAGCAGAAACTAGATAGTTAGCATACAATAGAGGTTGGAGTAATTCAATGGGAATGTAAAGAGCCGTTTTCTAACAGCACACAAGAGACATCACATATTAAAAAGGATAGAAATATCTGGGATAAAGCAGACTAGGGTGTATTATAAAAGGAAAGAAGGACAAACCAAACAGCAAAATGCACACTCTCAAACACAAACAATAATTAATTTGGTTCTTTTGGTAAGGGCATTACACATTAGCTGTAAAGAAGCTCAGGTCAGGGGAAGGACAATGTCAATACTAGTTAGTCAATGAAAGGCACAAAAGAGAAAAACGGAAACAAAGGTGAGGTGAAAATGGTGTTTATATTACTGTTTTGTTAAAATGCAGGGGGAGGCTGACCATCTGTGTAAACAGCTGCTATATTGAATATCAGGGCTAGCCAGGAAACACTATGTACAAAGAGACAGCTACAAATCACTGCTGTTTGTTGGAAGGCATACGGTAACCTTATGTCATAGAAGATGAATTAATAGACAAACTACATTTACATAGAGTTCAAAGACTAGAAGTAGGTATGTTAAAGCAAACTGTAAATTACACTTTAAGGAGGTCAAGACAGTTGGCCAATTAGTTGTTTAAAGATTGAAGACTGATTTCTTTATCTTCCCCATGTTCAAAAATGTAGTTTACATTAAAAAAATAAAAATAAAAATTACTGGTCCTCTACAAATGCTTTCATTCAGGATCACTTTCCGAACACAAGAGCTGATCTCAGCTTTTAAGCATGATTGAAGATGATTACGTCACCAATAAAAGTACCCCATTCAATAGCACTGATAAAATTAGGAGAAAAATCAATAGTTCAATTGTTTGGGGTAACTTTTACTTTGTCGAATCTACCAATTGTGGTTTGTACACATTGAATACCCAGATTGTCAACAAAATTACAGAATATTTTAATCAAGACATCGTTGTCTCAAGATTCCCAGATATTCTTGCATATACAAATTCAAATAAGCTACCGTTTCATAAGAGCAGTTTAATTTTGTTTAAAAACCCAAATATACAATAAAAATTTGCTTTTTTTTTAAAAAAAAAAATCAGTACCGGTAAATGTTAAACTAGGAATGACTATGAAAGGCCCTGGTATGTAAATATTGTGATACAAATAACCATATAAAATATGACATTTCAAATCATTTTTTGCACCTAAATTTCTGTTAATGAACTGTATCAACCAACATCCAAAATCATCAATTTCCCCCCTTTATTATACTCACTCTATGGATGTCCTGAAAACTTCAAACCTACACGTCGTTTAAAAATGGGCCCTAATCAAAGATCCCAGATCAGCAAAGCTGTGCGTTGCTGATCTGGGAGCTGGCAGTGAGACAGGCACAGCACTGATGATGCAGAGCGCTTTTAATCACTCCTCTGAAAAAGTTTATTAACGCATAAATTAAATCAAAATCCCGAAATCTGCCGGCAAAACATGCTCACTTTTATTATCCTGGTGCCAGCAGTTTGGATTACGTACATGAAAAATGCCTTCCAGCCGCCGCGGCAAACCGCAAAGACACGACCAGGCCATAAGCTGCTGTTGAACGGGATTCCTAGTGACAGCGCACCGCCAGTGTATGGGGGCCTGAGCGGCTCTGACAGAAATTATTTTTAAAGCAGGATGGTAATCTGGATGAACTGACTGCACTGACGATGTTTTCAGGTGGACTATCTTACTTCAAAATAGATTCAAAATACTTTTTACCCACAGATCACAGCAATTATAGCTGCCATTTTTACAGGCAAAGAAAAGATAGGGTAGCTTTGCCCAGTGCGCATCAGACCCACTTTTTCCACCGTGCAGCTAGAGCAGCAGAGACGCTTTAGCCATGCTTCAGAACTAAACTTGTACAAGCATAAAAAATTTAAGCAGCACACGTGTTGTTGCTGCTCTTGCTGCTTTAGGTGTGAACGTAGCATAACAGTGGCTAGCTTCCAGCCATGGCATCCTGCACGTGCATTGGGGAGTCGATTCGTTCATGTGTAAAGGTATGCGCACAGGAGGGAGGGACAAGCAGACGACCATGATTGATGTGTCAGGAACCAATAGTGTACAACAGACCATGTTTTGTAATTGGTGTGGGTTACACATTGATTTCATACAGTAGCGGGGACCATTTATTTTAATTACACTTCCAAACCTTCTATTTCACTGCTTGCTATGCGACTGTGGGGAGATCTTTTAGAAACATGGTAAAAAATGCGTAAGAAAAGATCTCCTACTGCACCTTTAAAACATATATAAATTACCACATGTTGTCCGAAGACAGTGTCCAACTTCACTTTTGCCGCTTCTCCTGTTCATATGGTAAAGCCTTCCGGAGCTTCCGGGACCAGGCTACACGTGATACAAATTAGCTAATGAGCTGTGTCAGTCTGGATCACTGGGGCGAGCAACTTACAGACACAGCAGGAAAACCTGTGGCAAGCCGGACAATGAGAAAAAGAAAGCAGAGAAACTGTGGACTACTGGAAGACGCGCAGTGAAGTAGTGAGAGAAGAAAAAAAAAGAAAAAAGGGAAATGGTGTGCTAAAAGGCGACCGTGCACATTTGAGTATGTTTGGCTCAACCTACTGCCTTGAAACAGGTTTTTCCACCATGAACATAATCAAAAATAAATATGGATCCAGACTCACGAATGTGCACTTTGATATGTGGTTGAGTATGGCTTTATCGCCATTCAAACCCAGGTTCAAAAAAGCCTTCCGGGGCAGCCTAAAGCCCACTGCTCTCAATAAGCCATAAAAAAGAAAAAGAAAATAACTAATGGTCATTTTAGGTGTTTCATAAAATATGTGAATCAGGAAATTGTCTATATATCAAACTGAACTATTATTGTTCTATACTTCAAAAACAATTTAGATTTTAAAATGGGAAAGAACTGTATTTAAAAATTCAATGTATAACATGGATGCATAAAAACATTAATTTATTTCAGTGTTAAATGCTGTTTAAAGTAACGGATTATAATTAAAAATGTCTCTGGACCGTTTTCAAACATCAGCATGCACTGATCGTAGTAATGTGTGCAGCGTGTTGCCTTGTTTCTAAAGCGATTAAAATGAGCAATGACAAGGTGTTTGTAGGACTTCATTGCATTCTGAAGATGACATTGTGCCCATTAAGAAGAAGGGAATTATTCAAAGCATGATGGGCCACAGCACACAAGGACTGTGTTTAGGTGTGACAAATACTGTTACGTAAAGACAAAAAAAAAAATCTTTGCATGGAAAACACTTTACATATTTAAGAGTTTTATTTTAGTTACCAACTATGATCCAGGTTTAGAATTGCGCCCCTTAGTGTGTCAATAATTCTCTGTCCTTGGTTAGAAAAAACTCTTAATAATCCCGAGTCAATTTATGAAATTTGAAATCAGAGATCAAAGTTTTTTATCCATGTCTGTGGGAAAGATAAAAGGAAAGCCATGAACTAGTAGGAGCATAGTAAGTTACTGAAGACTCTTGTCATGTGGCAGTTTTATCAGCATCCCACTGTTCGTACCATGTTATGCAGCCCACTGAGAAAATGTAATATTTTACTAAGATATCATGAATTTAATACAGGGGAAACTCACATCACAATGACTGATCGATCCCGCCCGTGTATGGTGCTAATAATTCAAACCTTTGGAAGTATTTTTTTTTTCCATGCATCATTTATGTATTAAATGTCCAGATCCATTAAGTATGACGTATTCCTCTTAATGCTGACCAGAACTTTGATTTAACCTTGTTCTCCTGTCGTCACATCCCTTTGTTCTTAAAACAATTACAGAGATCCAACCCAGCCCCATTTCATACAAAGGGAGCATGAAATAAAAACATAGAAAACAGAAAGTGAATGATCATTGAAATTCCAAGTCTTATCAAAATCATTGTTTTAGTTGTGCTCACTTTATTTTATTTTTCCCCTAACTTACTATCAAATCTAGAAAATGTTATTTTTTGCACCCCTATTTTTGTAAAGCTACTTTTAGACACAGAAACAAACATTTTGTAAAGTGGAATATGTAATAAGAACAGGCAGAAATGAAAAAAAAAATGGCCAGACAAAACACTGTGTTCCTTGTTGACTTCTGATGAAAGACATAACTGACATGAGAGTGGAAGACATGGTGGAAATGCTAGGAGGGTGTAATTGACTGGCTTGGAGAAGCATGCAGCTCACTCAATAAAAGGGGCAGAACCCACCTTCTCCGCTCCCCGGGCCGGCCTCTGTAATTATCTCCATTAGAGAATTTAGCCCAAATACTGCACACAAAACTCAGAATTAGTGCAGCCAAAAGGTGGACGGAAAAAGAGACACCGGCCCAGACACAACCAGTCTGAACATCAACCCACCACACAACAGAAATGTACACTTCAAATGATATGAAAGTAAAAGAAAGTAAACAAAGAAGCAAAAGAAACTGTATGATGAGCCTTAATGTGAACGATAAAATGAATAATGATCAGGGCTTTAAATTACAATTAATATTTACAGCTTCTCTGTAACTAATAAATATATATATATATATATATATATATATATATATATTTATATTAATAAATACATTGTTGCAATACAAGATAAAGCAGTTTATGTGAGCATAAATGAGGCAACTCCTAGCTATTTAAATTTTCACATACCAAGAAATTCTTGGCGAGGAGTAGCAACATTCTTTCAGTCTGACTTACTGATTACTCCAAAGGAAGTTAATAATTACAACTCTTTTGAACATTTAACCCTTACTGTAGTTTACCTCATCCAAATTGCAAAGCAAGAAAACCTCTTCTTTTTGTAACTTTGTATTGTCCACCAGTTCCTTACTGTGAATTTTTAGATGAGTTTTCAGAGTTCATTTGGTTCTGATTTGGTGTTAGACAGAGACACAGTTGAAGGTGATAGCTTTAGTGCAGCCGGTAATGCTACCCTCAGGATTACTTTAACAAAGTTCTCTTTCCCCAAAAGAAGGTTTCACTTTAGCAGATCATTATCAGACAGTGCAGTTACAAATTTTACACTGAGCCTGGTTCTACTGGAGGTTTCTTCTTGTTAAAATTGAGTTTTTCCACTACGAGCATGCTAAGTGTGGGGGGTTGCCTTTGAGTCAATGAGTCGATGAAATCCACTGGTTTTCCTTGGACAGAAAACTTTAAATCAATTTGACTGTACAGTATGATATGGTGAATATTAAGTGACATGTGTTGTGAATTGGCGCTATAGAAATAAACTGAATTGAATTGCCTGGAAAAGTGTGAACAGTGCTGAACATTTGAACAATGAAAATAAATGGGTTATTGAACTTTAAAAAGTATGTACAAAACATATTTTCCATGCTAAGCTGTGAATGAACTCAAAACACAAACGATAGAGAGCAGTGGAGTTACTAAATTATTAAACAAACAAAAAAATAATACAGAGGGTTAGATATTTTTTTTTAACTAGAGAGAGATTTTTCTTTGAAAAATACCAGGTACTTTTGAAGAAATTAGGCTTATGCAGTTTATTAAAAGATGTCTTAATGTAGTAAGAGAGATGCCACATTAAGAAAAGTTTGCAGTCACAGAGGAAATCATTGTTAAAAAAAACAGACTTCCAACAGCCACACAAACAGGAAGAGAGGAACAGAAAGGGAAGGTAAACAAACAGAGACACTAAGGGTTTAACTTCTATCTCAGCTCTATGCTGAGAACAGGTCTGAACGATTACAGAAACGTCTAGTTAAGAACAAACTATCACACCAGACATAACATACCCGGACTGTCAGGGGAATCTGAACAACAGAGACAAAAAAAAATGACAATCAAAGGAAGAGAACACAACTCTTTAATGGCAGCTATTCCACACTGAGTGGAGTTATTGAGTTATTTCACCATGCTTTGTTTTTATTTGTTGTTTTTTTTCTCTCAGATGAAGAGAAAATCCAGCCTAAACAGCTTTCACACTGACCTCCCAAATAGAGCTGGGCAATAAAACAACAATATTCTATTATTGATCAGAAAATAACAATACTGGGGTCGAGGACAGTTTTTAAAATTAAAACAAGATAAAAAAAAAAAAAAATGTATGTGCCCTGGTATACTGTATGTGGGGTTTTGTAATTGCTAAGTGGGTGATTGAGAAGTCCTTTTTTTTTTATCTTTACTTGAACCAAATAATGCTCCAGTTACTGAATTCTGTGTTTATTTTGAGGGGGAAAAAATAAAATACTTATAATAATAACATAAACTTTCATTTATCCTTTAAATTTTTATTCAAACATTCGTATGTGAAACTGGTTTATTATTATTATTTGAAAATGTACTGCTGGAATAAAAATACTGTGATCTATTATGTCCACATCGCCCAGTTCTACTTTAACGATAAACATAAGAGCTACTTTAGTTAAAACAACAACAAAAAAATTACAACATAAAGAAAGGAGAAGTTCTCCCTTTTTAAAGCAAAATAAAGTCTGCCTTGGAGTGGATTTTCTTGAGAGAAAAGGTCTGATTTCTCCTCAATACTCTCCTGTAAATAGTGCCATATATGTTTGGCAATCCAGTGGAAAGAGAGACAAGCTCTGAAATATGTTACAAACCTGATTGCTCCGTTTCCTCCTTATCATAATTAAAGTATTCTTTAAGCGAACAGGTAGAGAAGGACAGAAAATGTGTTTTTGTTATATTTAGTCTACATAGTTAAGATATTTAGCAATAAACAGACAAAGGTATATTGAAATTTATAGAGCAAAAATATCTAAAAAAAAAAAAAAATGAAATCATCTCATAAGCTTGATTTAACTTCTGATGTAAACTGAATCTAAATAAGAACCAATAGGATGGCAGAGTCATGTCAGCCTTGAATCTATGCGATTGTTGTAATTGCTCGCCTACCTTTGAGGCTGGGAAAGGGCGTCGATTTCTCCCGCGCTGCTTTGTTGGGAAGGGCCAGATTGGACAGACTGAAGCTGGTGCCGTGGTTCTTGTATAGATTACCTGTGGTGGAATTACATATGCAATCATACACTAAAGCATTATTAAATGTTTAAATTTACCTTCATTTATCCAATAACGTGTATTGTACAATTCCAGAGGTGGGTAGTAACACCGTTACCATTACAGTGACAGAAAATGGTGGATATTGTCAGTGGAAGTCCTTTACCCCACATTGTTGTCACAAAAAGAATTTACTTTATAAGTTATATTTTTTTACTAAACATAATATATCTTTTAAAATAAGTTTAGTTTTTAAAATACCAGACAGTCATCTAGAGAGTTGATGTGGAAGGGAGTAATTAGTATTTTTGGATGTTCTGTTGGTTAATTCTAATGCTCATGCTTAATTATTCTTACTAGCAAAAGACATGAGTCCACCAAATCCATCATTGCTGCTGTTGGATATGGTAGAATTTGGCGAACTGTTGCGAGAGTCTCCCTCTCCATCCGACTCTCCAGGAAGCCTTAGGCTGCTGGGGCGTAGAGGCCGCTGAACCCTAAAACCAAACAAGTCTTGTGAGATTTTAATCTGACACACAAAGCAAACATGAAGGCTCAGGGATAAATGGAAAATGATATCAGGACTGCAACAACAAGAACGCATCTTGGATGATGAGAGAGAACGTTTAAAAGACAGGCATGTACTCACTTGTTGCCGTTTAGGTTCTGGTTGAATCGAGGGGTGTAGGTTTCAACTTGCTCTTCTTCGGCGTCTTCCTCAGTGGGGAAGCCATACTGAGGCTCAAAGTATGGGTTGTCATATTCTTGCTTTTTGTTGGCAGAATCCACCAGACCGACATCTGCTGCTGGTCTAAGGAATGGCTGGCTGCCCAGTACAGGGACAGGGTTCTGCAGAGCGGCACTTGCTGATGCCTCGATCTCAGGCGCTTCAGATTGCTCCTTGAAAGCACATATACATGCCCATTGTTTAAATGCCTTCTTGAATAAAACACATACTTTTTTGCATAAAAGTGATCCCTAAAGTTTACTTATGTTATCACACACATGATTAACTCCTTGGATAATTGTGCTAGGGCTTGAGCTTGCAGTTGTGCTAGAGCTTGAACGCAAAGGCTGACCGTCTGACAGCTCAACGGCTCCGTCAACACTGGAAGGACCATCTAGGTTATGGCTGTCCTTGTCATGGAAATCTTGAAACTCAACTTCACTAGCATCTCCAAGTGCAGCATGAGTGGGAGGATCCAAGCCTAAAAATATGAATAAATAAATACATTAACAGCAAGAAGAGAGAAATATGACAGAGGTATTTTGTTTTGTTTTTTAAATGAAAGAACATACTTGGCGTGTCCCCCTGGATGTCACCTTGAATCATCTCACTCACTAAGTCTCCAAGGGAGGAATATGAAGAGCTGGAGTCGTCATATCCATCACTGTCACTACCACTTTGGGAAAAGAACAGAAAATCTAAAGGTGCTCGATATGCTTATCTAAAAATGAGCAGCTGAAATAACAGGGTCTAGTTTCCTAACCTGTCTGTGGGGTCAGAGTCATTGCCTTCATCTTCCAATGGAGCAGCCATCGCCTCCACCAGTGAGGAGCTTCCATCATAAACTCTGTAGACCACTGGCTGCAGCTGGTGTGCATACCATTTGGACTTGTCTCCGATTAAAGATGGATCATACACATCTAAAACAAATATGCCCAGAGGCAAGTTTATTTCCACACAATAAAACAAAACATTCCAATCAACAGAGTATTACTGAGCTAAATGAGCCTTACTGTTGTGTATCCTCTGAAAGGCAAGGTTAGAGGGGTTGAGTGCCCACTCTCCGTAGAACTCTACTGCCTGTGTGTGGGACAGCTTATCGGCAAAACTGGAGCGTCGTGGGCGAGAGGCAAGAAAAGACGAACACTGAAAAGCAACCACAGGTCGCGGAAACAGCCGCAAAGTACGCGTGTGCATTTGGAAGCCCTGGAGAACATTGGGTGAGTTGAAAAACCGCACCATGGCAACCCTAAAAAAAAAAATAGAATAATTAAAATGTCTTAGTTAAAAGAAAACAGAAAAAATAGCCCATATATAGGAATAAGGGAGTGGCTGCCGGGTGGTTAGGGCATTGAGCTTGGAATCCAGAGGTTCTGAGTTCAAGTACCACTCCCACAGACTGCCACTCTGGGTCCCTTGGAAAGACCCTTAACCCCACACTGCTCCCTGTGTCTCGCATGGCAACCCACTGCTCCCCAGAGGGATGGGTTAAATGCAGAGAGTTAATTTTATTGGTTTTTACTTGTGACAGTGTAATGACATTAGCCAGGCCAAAAATCCCCTTTAACGACAACTTCTCAGACCCTTAGATGGGTATGGGGCATTGCAGTCTAACAAAAGAAGATCAACGACCCTCATTCCAAATGAGTTGACCCCTTCATCATCCAATTTGTATGTTTTCAAAACAAAAACAAGGCTTTGTTGGGCTACTGTATACAACCCTGAACTCAACGCTATTCCTGACATTTTGAATTAAAGCTTCCTGGATGGGAAGCGAAATGTCTTCAAACTTGAAAACAAAGTCCAGTGGATTGTTTTTTATTTTCTTTTTTGGAATAACTATGACCTGGACAACTGAGAACCTTCACCAGCATAATGACAATAAAGTTGATTCTAATTCTAATGATGTGAAAAGTGGCTAGTTGCTGCACAATAATTTGAGTAACCCTACCACCAATTAAAATCATCTGCAGCCTACAAATAGTCATCCACTTTAGAAGTTTTGAATATTCACTCTAGCATGTAAATTTGTCTATTTTACACAGACACTAATTAATCTGTAAGGTTTGTTTTTCCAACGAAAAATTGCATGCAAGATTTTGTTGCCACCACAAGATGGCAGCAGTCAACAACTGAAAAAAGTTGACACTTTTTTCCCTCTGCTATTTCTGTAGGTTTTACAATAGCTGAAACCATTAAAACTACTATTTATTTCATTTTTTTAATTAATTGCAGTATTTTAATTTTTTTTAACCATTGCCAGTCTTAAAGAATAAGTAAAACAACAAAGTCCTTTTTCAATTTGTATTTTTACTTAAAATGGCTCCCATAGTCTTCAAACATGGCATCCATAGAGCTATCCTAATATATGGCTACTGACTGCTGCCCTTTCAGAAACTTTTAATCAAATTGGAAATGGAAGTAAAGAACTTGCCTGGTGGCAACATCCACAGAATCAACATCATTGCCATAAATCAGAGGGTTGAACTCAGTGGAGGACGGCGAAGCTTTGTCTCTTCCTGGTGGGAGCAGAGTCATCTCCTGGCCTTCCTGGAACTTCTCCAGGTTCAAAATGGGCTGGGTGTTCAAACTCATGCTGGCCAATGCCTAAAAGGCACCAGTGATACAAATTAAAAAAGAAGCTATGGATCTGACGACAATACTGTGATTAACTACTCCCACTACAGGCATCAACAGTTTCTAGAAATTTAATGGGACATTATGGAGGTATATGCATTATTTAGAGGATGTAATAAAAGTAAGGAAATTCATATAGAAATTAAAAATTTACTTAGAAACATATCCCAATCCAGCAAAGGTGACAAAAGGTTTCGTGGCTCCAAAATGATTCAATCCCCACAGCATATTTAGATAAATGACAACTTGTCCAAACTTGGAGCTTCTAAGTAAGTTAAAGCATGTTCAGTCTTGAATAATTATTGTGTTGAATGGTGTTCTGCAGTCTCAGAATTATTCAGAGCCTTCGTGACACGCACCTTTATTAATTAGTGCAGCACCCTTTTGCCGTTATGCCCTCCTGCAAATGTGATTCAAACACCTGCTTCTTGGAGGCAACCTGAGGAATCTTAGATAAACACTTACAGGCAAAAGCCTCCAGGTGAAGTACAGCAAACAAAAACATTTTTCTTTAAGCAGTTTTTTTCTCCTTTCCTTTTTATTTTTTTTGGCATGCAAATAAGATCCAACTTTTCCTGAGCCTTTGGTTGAGCAGTGGTGTACATCCTGAAGCCTGTGTCGTACTGTGGAAACATCATCATACAGGGACACCTCAGGGCCTAATGCCACTGGGATCCTTACGTTGGACGTCAGCAGTTTGTAAAGGGTTTCTGTTGAGAACTTTCTGAGGGGTACCATGACCCCAACTGCATTTCTAGGATCAGACTCTTTTTGTATCCATTCCTTACTAGTAAAGGGAAAAAAACTAACCTTCAGGGAACCTTCTTGGATCATGACAACCATTTTCTACTGTAACATACATCGACAGTCTAGTTCCACCTCAGGGACACTTAATTTAACTAATAAAGCTGCTGGGTATAACATACATTAGGCTTTCACAGCTGTGCCATTACAAAACCTAATTAGAAGTTTTAATAATTCTGAGACAGCAGTCGTTATCTGAAGTCAGATTTAGTGTAATGTTCAATCTAAACAGTTAAGAGATTTCTTTGAAAACACCTGAACAATTTGGACCTAATTTGAAGTGGAGGGACAAAAATATACAAATATATATATATATATATAATAATAATAATAATATAGGTGCAACTGTTCTGTTTGGATATTTGTCATCTTTGTGGATTTAAATGAAGAGTAAACAGGGTAATACAGGACAAGGTCATACAAATTTGCACATGTTGATGTCTGTGGTGGGTGCAGCTTTTTAGAGAGGAAACAGGAGGAAAGTAAATCACTATGCATGGTTTGCTTAGAGGGAACTGCTGCAGTCTCAGGAGTCGATGTTTAGCTTAGCATAATGGAACATTAATTTGCTGGGCCAGGATGAATGTTAACTTTGTCAGAGGGATAAACATAAGCTTGTATTGTCTTATTTTGGTTAACACTCACTATGCCAAAAACGGATGCACGCACATTCATACATGCTCAAGCCAGAGTTAAGCAGTGTATTGAAAACTGTGTTTCGCAACATTCTGAGATGTTCTTTTACATTTACTAGAGGTCAAGAGAAGAAGAGGTGGTAAGTAATGACAGGCAAACCAATGTGTGAGAGAGGATTTCCGTGCATGGGCATTACACATTCCACAGGAGGAGAAATAAGTAACCTTATTCTCAGAGGAGAAGATCTGCTTTTGGGTGATCACGGTCAATCTAACCAGACACTAGGAAGGGGAATAAGAAAAATGCGAGGAGAATCACATGAAGGCTGGAGATGACAGTTTTGTGACAGACTAGAACATCACATGATGGAAGGGTAACAGTCACTGCCTTTTCACTTTCTTTGTCTCCTTTTAGAAATACGTCCCACTTTTTCTGCTCTGTTGACAGCAAGCACGTACATTTTGTTGCCACAAAAATACAAGTTACTCAGAGCAGAATTCAGAAAGAACAGCCTTTCAGCTAGATTTTTCTGGGATAAAAGGCTTTTGTTTTATTTCATTTTTTTAATACATGACTAAATTTTGTCAAAATGAAAAAAGTGACAATTTTTAGTGAGACAAAGAGGATCGAGCAAACTGAGTCAATTCAATTTAAGAGAAAACCGAGAAAGTAAGGCAGGGGGGGGAAAGGCTGATGAAGACAAGGGAGGTGATTTTATCTCAAACATGATAGACACTGATAACCAAAGATTTACATCAATAACGATCAAAAGCCAGAATTCTCCAGCAGAACCCAGCCTTTGAGTGGCACAAGACAACCATCCATGGTGACCAATGGGAGAACCCAGTGGTTACAATGGAGGGGACATGATGGCAGATACAGTACAAAACTGCAGATCTTTTCAGAAACACACAAAATGCTTGCAGACCTCTACATCTACAGAAAAAAAACAATGGCAGAAAGAAACCTTAATTCCTCTATAGCTCAAAAAACCATCAGAGATTGCAAAAGAAAATAAATCAGTGTCTTGTAGAACTGATTTATTTGTAAAATGAAGAGCTAAGTGCAAGTATTTTCAGAGGCTCCCACACAAGCAGCATTAGGCATAGCATCTACGTCTTTACAGAAATCTGTAAAAGATATTCCTCTGTGCCTTTTTCTACAATTACAGAGAAAATGGTTAGCTTAGATTATGCCAGCAAAAACTGAGGCTTAGCACACTCCTACAAACCAGCTTTTTGGTCTCACACACAGAAAAATAAAGAGCTGCTAACCACACACTGATCAAACTGGCTCTGATTCAAGGTGGATAAAACCAACTGATGACTAAAATCAATAGTCCAATTGAGTTTTATCTGTGAAATTTTGCAGCAGGCAAAACAATGTCTAAGCAATAAACAAAGCTATTTGCCGAAGGGGATTAATTCAGTTAAAACTGAGATAATTACTTATAATTATCCAACTATTTCTTTTTGTTTCTGTTAAGATGCTATTAAAGTTTTTAATTTTCTTTTTTGGGGGAGAGGGTTGTGGGTTGCGCTTCAGGACTTTTTGATGCACTTTGATGAGCATCAACCCTATACATATACATAAACCTGCTACTTTTTCTGCTCACAATGCATTCGATGTGAACATAGTATTAGGGTTCCTCTATAGGAGGCAGAGAAGGTTACTGGGGAGGGGAGAGTCTGGTTGTCTCTGCTGAGACTACTGACCACTGCAACTAGATTCCAACTTAGCAAGATGATGTAAGTTTTATAAGCTGAGCTTTATAAAGCTGTGCTTTAAAATTGTCCATGTCCATTCATATGAAAGGCAAGACAAGATTTCAGTTGGGAGCATAAGAGTAAAGATAAGTGAAAACACAGGCACTCCAAATACTGTAACTGTTTTTCTGTAATTGTTTTTTTTTTTTTTGATAACCAGCGACTGTTTCACTACAACATAACTTAAATCTAAAACCACAGTAAAAGATGTACACCTTTGTCATTGTTACATGAAAAAGTTCAACTACTGAGAATACTTTGTAAAGACACTACATCAAGGTAGACTGCCTCATGAATCAGAACCAGACTCTGAAATTGTTAAATGGGGTTATAGGGGGAAAATCAGTTGCCATCAGTAACACTAAGATTTATTTGGGTCCAAGTATCAAACTTTACCTCCAACAGCTAGGGCATGCAAACAAAAACAAAAGAGAAAAATAATAATGATGCGTTAGTGCACTAAAAACAAATCCTTTCAAAAGTCTTCACACATCTACAATACATACAACCCAGCTGAAGAAGAGGGCACCTACTCTTCAAACTGCTGAAAGAGAATGTTTACATGTATACAAGACTGTGGTCAAGTCACAATAAAAGGAGAAAAGACATTAAAAAAAAGAAAATCACTTGTGTCACACTGGGGTCACTTATTTCTGGCTGCCACAGGGCAGTTCAGTTAAATGCAAATACAAATCAGAAAACCAGCATTGATTACCTGTTTTAAATGTTTCTTAAGCTCGCCTGCTTCAGGCTCTGGCAGAGGGGGAAGATTCTCTGCATTGGTAGGCACTATAACCTGCAACCAACACAAGTGTAAATTAGATACAAATAAAATTTGCTTCCAAGAGAAATAGACATCAGATCTCTATGTCCGTATTTCTCCAACCAAATGGAAAGTTTTCATTATTAAATGTACATTATTCCACAGCAAGGATTTTGAGATCAAAGTAATTCTGGATAAATGCTAATCCCTCCTTTATTTTAGGCACAGCCTTGGATCAACCAAGGCACATGTGTAAATCCTCATGTTGGCAAACAAACCTTGCTGCTGTCGAGGTCGACCAGCCAAACATCATCTGGCATTTTGAAATCTGACTTATAGAGGAAGAAGCTGGCTGGAACACCAATAATGTAGGGAGTGGGAGCGAGAAGGAGCTGTGAGGAGCAGAAAGCAGACCAGTGTGTACATAAAAGTTGATGTTCCAACAACAGATGGTGTTTACAGCTAGAAATAACAAGTGTGGGAAATGTTTGAAGTTACACAAAAATATGAACTGCCTATTTAACATCGATAAGCCTCAGTTCCACACTTACCTGCTCAGCAGAAGCCATACATGTAGGCAACAATGGGATGACAGGGAACATGTACTCCAGGGGGTAGATCATAGCCACAAAGGCCATCACACTCATGGACAAAGCATTGTAATCTCGAGATTGAAGAATGACCTTAAAAGGTAAAGATTGGAAACAAATAAAAAAGAAATGAAGAGAATCAATAACAATGGATCCTATTTTAAATACCGAATACTTGATCGTTATGATGTCTGAGCTTTCTAAGTAAAAAATGATGTGGTCGGTCTTCTAATAATTCCATTATCTTTTATCCCTTGTTGTAAAACTTCAATGCAAGAACAGCCCTTTTGTTTTGAGTTTGTTAACAGCATTATTAAAAGATGATTTTCAAGAACAGATGAAGGTTGGAGAACAAAAAGCTCAAAAGAGACATCAGCCTGACAGCTTTATGCTTTTAATTAGTTCAGCCTCACTGAATGACAAAATTGTCAAAGTCTAAAACAGATGAAAATAAGAAAACCTTCAACAGGCTCCTACTCTATTAATTTTTACAAAGATCTTCTATTTTAGTGCATTATTACAACTTTAAAGCATGCAAACAAAACAAAACTATGTTGACTCCCAGCTATCACCCAATGTAATCATTTATTTCATAACTACAATGACAATGGAGAACAGAAGGAATAGTTTTTCAGCATTTTTCAACACCTAAATTAATCACTTGGCACACAGGCCAAGTACTGACCTGCTTTACAGAGACTGAAACACTCAGGCTATATTTCATTTTTCTTTGATTTTTAAGAAGACTTTTGGCTGCTTCTTGCAAACAGACAAGAGCTGCCTTCTTTGCAACAGTGGGGAGGTTTAAAAACACTCAGATTTATACTTTTCTTTTTTTTCTTCTTTTTTTTTTTTAGGTGGAATATGTTTCTAATGGCAAACTAGTGTGTTTACTTAAGGCATGTCTGCTTGTCTGGAAAGAGCCCCACAACAAGTTTTTTGGGGGGAGGGGTACTCTGAAGTCCTCTGTGCACCTTTATGTAAATAGACAGAGGCACATACTGCACAAATGTATACTGATTTTTCTAATAACTGTGGTGCAGGTTTTTCCATAATGCAGAGTGAAATTTAAAATTGTCCTTTTTTTTCCAATTTTTATTTTAATAATACATCCTATTGTGCATCTGTATAAATAAACGTATGCCAAGATAATTAGTCAGACTGCTATAAAAATGGCAAATGGGCATAAAAGGTGGGATAGCCCAGGAACTGCAAAGACTTGTGTATCTTTGGTCTGAGGATGCTTAAAAGGAGCCAAGGCATCTGTGCAGAGCAAGACAAAAGTAAGAATACACCAGAAAACTGACCAAGGATTCTGATTAAATTTAAGTCAATATCTCAAGGGGTGAAAAATAGCAGATGGCAGAATGAGACTCTTTTCTCTGTGTCCAAAGCTGTGATTTTCTCCTCCTCTGCAAATGGCTTCAGAAAATAAAAACTGAATCTGAAAAATGTGACTCATTTTGGCAGATTTTAAAGGAGAAAGATGGAATTTAGCTTCCAAGTCAATTCAAATACGAAAATGCTTTTTTTTTTTGGTCTTGTTATAAATGAGCTCAGTCTGACAGCTCAACTGTGACTAACTGGCATTTCTAATCGCCAAGCACAGCAGGATATCAGGGGACTGGTGTAAAAAAGTATGACAGCACATCTCACCAAACACTAATTGTTTAAAAAAGAAACCAAGTGGTTTAAACTCCTTCACATTTAAGAATTAATATGATTATTGATTCAATCAAGTTACCTTTTCAACAAATCATAAAATACTGTGGTCTACATGCTGTAAACTTACAAAACTTGCTCATTCCTTAGAATAAAATGTCCTGGGCTTATATTCAAAAATTTGATGCATGGCTATAAGATAGTTATCATGACAGCTAATCTAGATGTAAAGACAAGCCTTATGTATGGCTAGTCTTTCATTTGAACTCCTGACCTGTTTCCATGTTTACCTTGTGCTCCAACAGGACACAGCTGAGGACCTGAAGACAAGCATCAACACCCAGCAGCTCCAAGGGCAAGTGCAGTGGGAAATCAACCAAGGAGAAACGAGAGTTGTCAGGCAAGGCGAATGTCAGCGGCCGTTTCAGTTCTTGGGGCAGCACCTCCACATCCACACGCCGTTGACCTGCCAATGGAACCGGGGAGCGCAGCAGCCGGTACACCCATGACTCGATGTCCCGCAGGTCAGCCAACAGCTGGCTACCTTTCTCTTCCACAGAGAGCGCCCCGGTAAACACCCTCCACATGGTGTCCCTGCACAGATACACACACAAATTAAACATCTAACACCTATAAATCTTTGAATTTAAATGTTGGTAAATCCTTTAACTGTTAATGTCAACATGTCTCTATGTTGCAAAATTTAATGAAGCTATATGAATGTTGGCGCAAGAGCTGCACTTAATTACAAAATAGTCAAACTGCATGGCTAAAACAGTCAAGCCGTTTAGTGTGAATAGTTAAAAAAAAGATGAACGTTTTTTTGTTTTTTTTTTCTAAGAAAATACAAAGCTTGTGTAATGTAAGCTTATTCTAAGATGCCAGATATGGTTTATCTTCAACAATAAAATACAATTATTCAACAGCACTTAAGTATCTAATTGACGTGTGAAATAGGTAGAGTTTGGCTGGGAAAATCTGACGGTTAGTTTGATGATGAGATCTTAAAGTGGATAGAACAATGGCTCATTTCTCTGCTTCAGACAGGTATCAAGCGGCATTTAAATCCCTCATCTGAAGGCCAAATGACACAGAGGCTCTTCAGTAATCACCAAAATATTGATTTCAAAATGCTCTACTTACACATTTAAGACCATTATGGGTCTTTAAGTGTATATCTGGCACTGTGTGGGTGAGAGGGAGTGAGGGGATACATTTGTCCTTCAGAGCCCTCCCACCTCACAGCTGCTACCTAAAGGCAGCTGGAGACCTCAATCTGTCAGAGCTACCATAGTGAGAAATGCTCCAAGCCATTATACAATGACTCTCCTCTTTCTCTGTCACTGCAACATAACATTATAACTGTAGGAGCCAGAGAAAATAAAGAGCAACAAAAAAACTGCCTAGGCCAGTAATGTCTTTGGCTTTAATGCGCTGCTTGACGTTTTGAGATCATCATTTTAGACTGTTAATTAGTGGATAATCTCACTGAAAGGAAAAAGAATGTGGTGTGTAAAAAGAAAATTAGTAGACTAGAAGACACATTTTACTTACCAGCAATACATACAAGAAATAGGACTACTTGTTGCCTTTTATGCTTTGAACTAATATTAGTTGCACTACACTGGGTTGCATCACAGTGGGCTGCCATTGTGCGGCTCCTGGGGTGCAGTGTGGGGTTAAGGGTTTTACCAAAGAACCAAAAGTGGAGGCTGTGGGGATCGAACCGGGTACTTGCAACCATCTCAGAGCACAAGCAAACTGCTCTAACCACTAGGCCAAAACTATACTAGTACGAATTAGGTTCTATATATCTAAAAATGTTTAAACATTTTAAGTGGCCCTTTTGACATTTATCAGCTTGACTGAATATGTATTCATGATATCTGAAATACATTTCATCATACTCAAAATAATACAAATACTGAGCAGTGATATTAGGAATATGGAAATCTGAAATTAATTTTTAGACATCCAGAATGTTTATGCTAGATGTGGAGATTTACATTTTGTTTGAATTGGTCATTTAGACAAAGAAAACATTTTTTTCAGATATCAGGAATACATATTCAGTAAAACTAGTACATATCAAAATGGCTTGCCATAGTCTGTTATTACAAGCATGATATTACAGGATCATTTCTTGAATGGTTGTAGATCAATGTATCTATTTAGATGAAATGAAGTCTAAAAACACTGTTCTAATGTATACAACCTGTGCATCATCTCATGGGTCTCTCCTCATGTTAAATTGGTCTTCTTTTACACAGTAAATACTAAGTGGCTGTTTGCAGCTGTGCTTTGGATGTTATCCCAATAAATGGTTGTTATTAGCAGCTCTCAAGCCCATAGAATGCCTTCAGAATGTGCCAGTAGGCCTATAAGGCTTTTTATCATTGAGTGAATTGTAATCCTAATCCTAAAATAATTCCTTTTCCCCCACAGAATTAATGAATCTATTTAGGTGTAATCTGAAAATTATTTCAATAGTTCTTCATGTACTGCAAATAGAACTAAATAAAAATAAAATGATCAGCATTTCGCTCATATTAAACAAACCAAAAACAAGTATTCTCATGCCCGATCAACTGAGTTGTACAATCCTCTCCCTATAAATATTTAGTTCTCTGTGAAAAAGTGCCGATCATTCTTTAATAAGACCCTTGTCAAACGGACATTTATGTTTGTTTTTAAAACCTAATGTTTGTAACGGACCAACAGTAGTGAATGATATAAATATATTTTTCATGCACAAAAATACAACAAAAATCTGACTAAATCAGGAAGTAAAACAACATAATTGACTGTAAGGAGAGCAGAGACAGAGGAAATGTATTAAATATGAAGATTCAAAAAGGATAGACTTAAAACTTTCCTTTATGATACAGCTTATAGTTAGAAAGGCTCAGGTTATCCTGAGCTATCTCTATAGTTATGCTGCTATAGGCTTAGACTTCGAGAGGATATAGGGACCCCTATTTCATCATTTTTGCTTCATTCTATCTCTATTGTTCCACTGCAGAATCTGTTAGTTTAATCACTAACATTGTGCTCTCTCTGCTTTTTCCTCATAGTAGCTTTGCTTCGTCTGTTCCTGTTAGGCTGTGACACCATCCTGGAGAGAAATATCAGCGGTGCTGCTGCCATCAACATCTTTGTTTATAGATGTTGGGAGATTTGCCAGTTTTTCCAGTGTAGTCCTGTTTCTCTGACTGTAAAGGTTGGATGTTCTCTCTTCTCCCTCCGGCATGGGAGTTGGCTCGGAGCTCGTCTGCCTAGCTGTGTTTTCTGGACGGGGCCACCTTTTACAGTTGCTTTTTGTATCTCTGCTTCTGTCTCCTTGAACCCCAGTCAGCACACTTAGCCTGGTTCTACTGGAAGTTTCTTCCTGTTAAAATGGAGTTTTTCCTCTCCACTGTTGCTACAAGCATGCTTAGTGTGAGGGATTCCTGAAGAGTCAATGCAATCAACTGGTTTTCCTTAGATGGAAAACCTTTAATCAATTTGACTATATGATTTGGTAAACTGTAAAGTGCCTTGAGATGACATGTGTTGTGAATTGGCACTACATAAGCAAAATGAACTGAATTGAATTGTGGATCTGTCTGTATTTTTCTTAAACATCTCAAAAAAAAGGAGACAAAATGCAGATATTCAAAAAAATATGGTTAACTGTAACCTAAACCTGTCCAAACTAATTGAGTAACACCTCATGGGAGATAAACAAAAGAAAAAGCAAAGGCTTCTTTATTAAATATATTTAACATACAGATCACGTTTGGATGAAGATGGGAGATGGAAGAATGAAGATGCAGCAATTAATCTGTCAGATATTAGAATCAGATTATCTAAGTGACAAGGCTATTTTTTGTTATTCATCACAAACTGTCTGAAAATCAATGCACTTTTTTAAATATGTAATATTCTTCCATGCAAACAGTAGCATTGCCTTATAATTTCCTTTTTGTTTGATCCAAAATTATAACCTATGTAAAAGAAGCTGCATCAAATATGTTAGACAGTCAGATGTAATGAGGAATAAGAGCGGTCAAGAAAAGCCTGATCAGTGCAGCTCTAATGGGTGGAAAAAGAACGACAGCTTATGAAGTGTTGAAAATAGCACAACCAAAGAAAAAAGATACTTATTAAGACCAAAGGTGGGTATCTTAGGTTTGTGGGGTTTGGTTTTTGAGTAGTACTGTTGATATTTTAAACAGGTGCTTGTCAAAAGAAGTGCTGTCAACAAAATCTTTGTCCTAAAGACGTTAAGATGTATCGGTGAACACAGTTTTAATGGTAGATTGTGGAAAGGACTAACAACCACAACAAAAAATAAATAAAAGCCATTTAGTGAGTAAAAAGCCTATTATAACAGAAATCTTGTTATCTACTCGTACAAAAACATGACTAAGTGACTCTGGCTAATCTAAGAGCTGATAAATAAAAAAATGTTAAGACCTCAAAGGAATAAGAATAAAAAAACAAAACTGTAAAGACATATACGTTAGGCCTCACCTTTGGGTAGCACGAGAAAGTCCAGCTCGCTGAGTTAGCCTCTGACTGCAGCAGTCCACCAGCCTCTTCAGAATATACAGGCATTCTCTGAATGTGGTAAAGAAAGGGTAGTGGCTGACGATGCACAGCGACGTCAGCGTGCTGTTGCGGTTCCTTGCAGCCACTTTAGCAGCGCTGCGTTTGTGCTGCGGAGACTTGCCAGAGGTTTGCTCTGCACCTGGCTGCCCGTCCTCTTCTGGACGAGGTGGAGGTTTAGACTTGGAGCTGTCAGGTGCGGCTGATGCAGCAGTCTGGCCTCCACCGCTGCCATCAGACGCTTCGTTAACAGTCTCGGTTGCCTGTGCTGCAGTTTCTGTGTGGCTACTCTTGTCTCTGGGACGGTGATGTCCACGCTGGAAGGACCGATAGAAGTTGACGCAGATTCCATACCGGGTAATACCAGAGTCCTTGTCGGTCAGCGTGAAAACAAATGAGGAGTCATCACGCAGGCTAACACGGCGCTGGCGTATACTGAGGCAGCCTTCTGGTTGGCAGAAGAAAACCACATCAGGAGCGAGCGGGAAGTCGTGGTGATCCTCCAGGGGGTAGCGTCGGAGGAGCTGTGGAGTCTGGGCCACACTGTCACTACTTGGTTGCCTGAGGAGAAAATACATAAACATGTTGATTCCTACATGTTTAACAATTCTGTATTTCTCCTGTTTGATAAGTTCTTTATCATCAATTTGCACACAATTTTCTCTAAAGCAGTAAATTTCTATATTATATTGACGGTAGAATTGCACCGGTCAATCAGCAGCACTAGCTAATAGGCCCATTTTCACGTGATCGGCAACCGGCCGGTCATCGTGAAGACAACGAATTTTACGCACTGTTTGTTTTGTATTGTTGATGGGTTTTTCTTCGAATGGACACACATTTTTCTCCTGCACTTTGTCCATGTTTTTTTTTTGTCAGAGTGTCCATAACAGGGGAATGACTGACCTAAACAACACAGGGAAGTGGATACCGCATTTTGGGCTCAGAACAGTAGCAGCGGGGTAGCAGTGTGACACCACTGGGACAGAGAGTAACATAATCAGGATGAGGGGTCCAGTTTTGCCCCCATCATGGAGCCAACAAACCACCGCGGTAAATTGCAGGAGCCAACCGGGCAGACAGTGCTCCAGAGAGAGGAGATAAGGAAGCTCAACAGTAGAGCAGAGGAGCGCAGTGGTATATCAGAGAAGCGACAGGAAAAAAGCTCTAGAAAAAAGAACACTAAGAGTGGGAAAGAGGCTACTGCTGCCTGGGAGTAGGACCGCAGTACGTTGGAGAAGCAAGCCAGGAAGCATTCCCACGTCATCATCTTTTTCAACATTATTTTCTCTATCTTCCATTTTACTAAAAAATGCTGCTGTCTCCTCCGATAAAACAGTGGTCAGTTCAGTTATTTCTCTTCTCCCTGATAATTTTGATACCTAATAATACAATGTCAACGTACATGAGACAGTATCTGAAGAATTTATGGATTTGATGCCGTGATCGGTGATGGGCAACTGGATCCCAAATTCCTGACCAATGCATATCTAATTGATGGGTTATTTTTCTACTGTAAAATATTGATTTTCACATTTTTATTGACATTATGATACCCAAAAAACACACACACACACACATATATATATATAT